AAGGAATTTGGAGTAAATATTGATATTAATGTCTGACCTAGAGCTCGTGTTTTCATTGCAGAGCTTTGTCTCATTGATGCCTGGAATGATTTCCTGTGGAATTGCAGGAATTGCTGCAGAACTGGGTGGGTTTACACAAAATCTGTTTGGAAATTTTACTTTACGCTTTTCAGGAAAAAAAAAAAAAGGGCAAAATTGTTTTCAAGTATTTATCTCTGAGCACAATTACAATATGGCCATTTAACCATCCTTAAGTCATAATTTTTTAAAAATAATTTAACCCCTTTTTTAAATGGTGGAATGATAATTACATAATGATGGCAAATGAACTGAGCGCTCAAAAAATCCACTGCGCCCAGGTTTGAGATTTTCACTGAATTTTCAAATAATATTGTGCAATTTTTATGTATCTTTTAGAAAATCTCATCAAACAATATCACAAAATCAACCCACAAGTGGTGTCTGAGTGAAGAGTCTTAGAGAGTGGAGAGTCCTGATGTAAATAGGTGTTAATTAATTTGATTATACACCTGAAAATAGGTGTCTTATACAATTATTTTAACAGCAACTGCTTTGAGATGAGAATTAAATAATACAAATTAAATAATTGAATAAATTTAATGAAATCTCAAAATGTCTGGGAGGAAAAGCCTCTTTTATGTTTATTAATGTCCGCTCTTGCAGGTCTCCCAAACTACACTGAGCACAACATTTTTATATGTGACAGGTGTCAAAGGGCTTCAATATTCAAAAGTTCAGCAGGCCTGGGATGAGAAAGCTGAAAATAAAGTCAATTTTTTTTTTTAATGTGTTATCCAAGGTGTGAGGGAGAGGATTTGAGCAATCCTATGTGAAGGATAGAACCACACGAAAGTAGGATGAGAGAATTTGGGTTTCTCTTTTTGTTTGAGGTTTTTGTTTTTCTGTTTTGTTTTCTTTTTTTTTCTTTTTTTTTTCTTTTTTCCCCCCGAGAGGAAAATATTCTGCATCCATTTCAGCACCGGATTTATCATTTCAACTTTTCAGGAGCGTTTTAGGAAGAAGAGCTTTGCAAAGCAGGAGCCCCTGATAAGCAGGTTAAAAGCTGGAAGCATTAAGATCAGCCAGTGCTTCTACAGGACCCGACTCCTTCTTGGTTAATATATTAAAACATTGACTCACAAGTGGCGAAACGTTGAGGGTAAGTGAATTCTGGATGGATGAAAGGCGGTTTATGGCCTCTGTTACAACTTTTAAGTGTGTTTTCTCCACTCACAGCAGCATAAACCTATTTTTCCTGACGTGAGCCACGGGAACACTGCTCTGCTTTATCCCCCCTCTGCTACACTTTGGAGATTAATCTGCAGCAGGGGATGCACAAAGCTGACGTGAACTGCTAGAGCTAAACCTAAAATGAGCAATTCACACCATCACAGGACCATTCATGTTGGAAAAGACCCCTAAAATCCTCGAGTCCAACTGCTCAGCCAGCACTGCCGTGTTCACCACCAAACTGTGTCCCCAGTGCCACATCTACAGGTCTTCAAAATATCAGTGACTCAGTTCATGGAGACAACAGTTTCCTAAATTGTGTGAATGAAATGCAAGTGTTTTGAGCTCTCTCTGTCTCTCAAAGAAAACCCCGAAAAAAACCCCTAAACCAAACCAACCAAAACCCTCCCTTCCTGCAGTGACTGACACGGTTGTAAAAAGGCAGATTGAATCTGCTCTGAAAACCACGTGGTCAGCCCAAAAATGTGACCAACCTGTGGTGACAACAGCATAAAAATAATGAGGTAAATACTCTAATCATCACCCTAAACAGTGAACTTCCAAGTGGTCAGGGGAAAAAAACCTATGCCCTATTTCTTCAGTAAAAAGGTGACACCAGGAGATCTGTTCCTGTGTTTTAAAACAATCTTCCATGGGAGAGTCTTGGAATATTTAGCTTTTCCCTGAAAGGTGGGTATTACTAAATAAGGCAACTAACCCTGCCCAGAGGTCTGCATGAGATCCAAGGCAAAACTACGGAGAAATTCCTGTTCCCTGGCTGTAACTGCATTGGGAATTTTTATTTATGGCTTTGATTATCTCCACTCGTTTACCTGACTCCTCCCCTTGCCATTGGCTTGTTCTACGTCCTGGACCTGCCCACTCAAATGCAACACCTTTCAAAAACTGGGCTGTGCTTAAAACATGACCCTTAGTGAGCCTGAGATGAGGGAATCACAACAGCGACGTGTTAAAAAGGGACACGGGAGCGCAACAGCCCAGATCTGCCACGTGTGGGTTAAAGCAGCGAGGTGCAAAGCAGACAATCAGCTTGAAGTCAAAGAGAAGGATCTTATTCTGTTACACTTCAAGTGTTTAAAATACTTCCAATATCCGCAGAAAGAGAATTTTTTTTTTTTAAGCAACTCTCCGTTGACTTCAGCGCAGCGACCAGACGTGGCTGAAGGCAGCTCTCAGCTCACAGGGGGACCCCTTAGTCCAGTGGTTTCCATATTTTTTTTATTTTTTTTTTTGGAATTTGCCCTTCCAAGGGGTCTGCAAATTCCCCCAGTGTGAATTCGAACAAGAATTCCGGTTGTGGGACCTGTGGGGTTGGACTGGGGATCGTCACCCGCTGCAGGTCAGGGCTCCCAAACCACCGGACTAACGGTGTCCCCAAACTGTGACAGTGGCTCGGTACGGTACACAGGACACAAAGGCAGGAGGATAAAAACTAAAACATTTGCCTCTAGAGCCCCTGGGGTGCCTCAGGAGACCCAGACAGTGGTCAATTCACAGAACCAAGTACAAGTCAGGTAAAACTCAGACCCCCCAGGGCAGGTGAGCGAGGGAGCAGACACGGGATCTCTGTCCTGCGGTGACAGCAGCAATGTTGTCCTCTTGGTGAAGTTACAAGTAATCCCATTATTCACAAAGAGAGGGTAAGGATGGGAAGAGAAAGCCTTCATGAGATCCACCCGTCCTCCAGTTCTTTGCCAGATGAACCTGATTTTTTTTTTTTCCACAGGCAGATCAAGGCTGGTTATTGATTCTCAAGAAAGCAACAAGTTCCCTCCTTGGTCAAATGCATCGTGTCCAATTTCATCCCTGGTGGGATTCTGCTCACAACAATCCACTTGTTCCATATTTCCTCCACTGGCCTGAAGCAGCTCTCCCTCTGTTTCTCCCTGCAGGTGACTCAGGGATCTAATTCCTTCCCTATCACCAAATTCAAGCAATTGCACATCACAGAGCAAACCTATTTCATAACATTTCTGAAGCTTCCAGGCAAACTCCAATCATATCTCTTCAGTCAAGTGCACAGTTTGTTTTGTTTATGACTGCAGGAATAACAGCAGATGAGTAATTTGGGGCTGAATATACCCATTTGCAACTCCAAGAGCTGAAAATGCTCCTAACAATTTTTACAACCTTTTTTTTTCCTTTATAACATCTTCTGCCTGAAGGGAACTTCATCAAGACACACCACCCCAACAGTGATTTGTTTGTGTTCCTCTGCATCCTGCACACAACTTCTTTTTCTCTCTTTAGGGCACAGCAAAGACAAAACATTCAAGTACTTGAAGGTTTATTCTGCTGAAAAATGTGTTTCTACACTGACACCATTCTCCCTGTAGGGCTTTCTGATGGGACTCTGGGAAAGGAATAAAAGGAAAATGAGCTTAAAATGAAGTCAAGCAAGTCTACAGATGAGGATACAAATCTTAAGAGCTTATTGTCAGTGAATCCTTTTAAAGGAATAAAAAAACATCAGTGTCTACAGAGGGCTGGCCCACAGGTCCAGCCAGACCAGGCCCCTGTCTCAGGCAGGGCCAACAGCAGAGGAGTATAGAAAATGATGAAGAAAATAAAAGTGAAGGACCATTTTCCCTGAATATTTTCCCAGACTCCAGCATTTTCTACACAGCAGCTCCTTGAATCAAAATGTCCCTAGTGGATATTGATAGCATCAATTATCTCCTGTCCAAACATGCACTTGAACTCCTGTTATTATCACAAGGCAACGTGGAATCAGTGAAGACGAGGAAAGAAAGTTCTACAGCTGCTGGCAAACCTCTGGCTTTTGCTGACCATGTCTCCACCCACCACATGTGGGAGAGGTCTCTGGAACCAAGGTTTGCTGGCATGGAAAGGCCTATCCTAGTCCTCTGCCTTACCCTCCAAATCAGCATCTATTACCTGCTAAAGATGGTCCCTTGGCTGTACCATCCCAAGCTATTCAAGAAAGGCAGCGCTGGCTGGTCCATGCTCAGCCAGACAAGGACACTTCCAAGATGTACAAAGAACCAACTTCCTATGCCAGGAAAAGTCCCTTAAACAGATTGAAAGATGGATCTGTAACAGGCCTGTCTGACACTGTGTGTGGAAACCCCTTTGGATGAGAAGGTAACTTTGGGCAGAAATACCTAAAGGTGTCAAGAAGGAGAGGTGTTGTTGGATGGGTGTAAAATCAGTTCCTATCACCCTTCAATCCAGGGTAAACTTGTGGGAAAAAAAAAAAGGAACAGACTCTGTGACTATCCCAGAACAGTCTTAAATCTCGGATGAACCACTATCGCTCAGGATTTACTGCTGTCAGTTCTGCTTTCCCAGTCATTCCTGATGTCCTTCAGTGGCATTTCAGAAACAATCACAGTGTGCCTCCAGCTTTGCTTACTGGCCCCTGTAGCTCACGTTCTGCCAGGCATGACACACATTTTCAAGTATTCCAACGGGATATAGAACCTTTTCCTTGCACTAGAGGTGTGACATACCCTTCGTTTGCTCCTCCTTCCTCATATAATGCCTTGACGAGCATTATATGAAGTTGATTTGCCAGGCTTGGAAATCAACAGATGGTGATGGGGCCAGAGCTGAGCTGCACTCTGCCCATGCACATCTGGGTAGACATACAGATACAGGAACACCAACAACCAACATGGATAAGATGGCAAATATACTCGGGCCCTCAGTGAGGTGGTTTTGGAGGAATTCGGGGACCTACTTACGGAACTGGGCAAGGACCGTACCTTCGATGGTGATGGCTTGGTCTCCTCTCCTCTCCTGGGTCAGGGCTGCAGCACTGTGGTGGTAAAGCTCTGCTCCGCTTTTTGCTGACCCTAATCTGTTCACCAGCTGGAGAGAATTGGGCAGTGCCCGGTGAAACACGGGGTGTTTGGCTGCAATAAAAATCTTCCTACGCTAAGTTAAACAACTCGAGGCACTCGAACGACAACAGGAATGGGTGAAGGTGTGACCCCCGTGTTAAGACGAGGTTTGAAGGGGCACTTTGCTGCTCGCTGGGGTTCTTGGTGATATTTTACCAGAAAACGACCCACACAGACAAATCTCAGCAAACTTTAACCGGCAGACTTAGTTGTTGACTCAGTTATTTGCAGTTTGCAGCCTGCGGCTCGGGCCTGGCTCAGCTCTGTCTCCACCAACAGGCACAGATTGTGCTGTGTGCCCTTGGGTGGTAATTAAAGAGGGTTTTGTTTGTTCATCATCCATTAATCTACAGGGTTTTACTCATCCAAGGGGATACTGGACCTTGGGGTCTTAGTTAATATCAAAGTAGTCTGATTTTGCTCAAATTCTAATAGAAGTCTTTAAATTATAGCAAACATCCTATAGCAAACTTCCACGAGCTGAACCATTTACCAGGGGGCAGCTGACCCATTAATTTCCTAAACCCAGATCAATTATTTTTATTGCCAAGCCCTCAGAGCTTATTACTATTTTATTACAATGAATGCATAGACTATGACCAATTTTCAGAAAATATGTTGCATTTATTTTAATTCATTAGATACTTCCATGTATACTTGCTAAACAAACAGGAATTTCAGTGGTTTATCCTTCTAATTAGATTTAATTTCTTTCTTTTAGCTTCTGATGGTTTCTTAGTAGCAGCATGAACGTGTCATAATTTAAAGACAATCCAGAAACTCTCCAGATCAGTTCAGCCTGACTTTCTACGCGGGTTTTTTTTTTTATATGCCAGGTGGCAGCAGTTACTCAGCCACTGCTCTCATGCCAAGGGTCTGAAATGAATTCTTCCCTCTGTATCACTGCAAATGGCAGGTACTTCAATCTCTGTGAACTCACCTCACATTCGTAGTGTCCCATATCTTCATTGGAAGGGTTCTTGACCACCAGGACCACGATGCCGCTCCGGGGCTCACTGAAAGCCTGGTATTTACTCGTGTCCTTTATCAGCACCCCGTCTTTGTACCACCTGTGTGTGGAAAACAGGTGGGTTACACACGGGTACTAAACTGCACAGGATTCTTCTCAAGGAATCTCATCAGCGAGTGCAGGAAAAGGGCTTTAAACGACGCAAAGATTGGCTGAGCTTTTCGTCTGAATACTGGTTGGTGATAAAAGCAGTTCAGGTGTAAGGCAGGGGGGATAAAGAAATGATAAAATGTTAGATCTGATACAGCCAGGGATTATCTGTAGGTGTTTCTTTTCAGATCCCTAGCTACAGTAAATGGCTGAGAATCTCAGGAATGTGGGGACCAGGAGGAGCCAGGATTGGGATGGTGTAAAGGTGGAAGACAGAGAAGAAAGGGTCATAACCCCAAAAGACTTTTCTGGCTATGCAGATTGGGAAACCAGGATTTGTTCCAGCCTGACTTCTAGGACTGACCTGATCTGAGGCCTTGGTGCTCCTTCCACAGTGCAGGTGAACTGAGCATCTTCACCCTCCACAAAATAAGCGTTCCTGACCTTGTTCACAAACCTTGGTGGCACTGCAAAGCAAAGGTAAGTTAAATAGTACCTGGAAATAGGACCAGAAAGGAAGGATGTGGCCCTGACCAGGTAATTGTCACTGACAGCACTTCTGGTGGAGGAATTTTTCCTAAGATCCAATCTAAACCTCCCCTGGCACAGCTTGAGGTTGTTCCCTCTCCTCCTGTCCCTGTTCCCTGGGAGCAGAGCCCGTTCCCCCCAGCTCCTCCCTCCTGTCAGGGATTGCAGAGCCAGAAGGTCCCACCTGAGCCTCCTTTTCTCCAGGCTGAGCCCCCCCAGCTCCCTCAGCTGCTCCTGCTGCTCCAGCCCCTTCCCAGCTCCCTTTCCTTCCCTGCACACATTCCAGTCCCTCAATGCCCTTCCTGAAGTGAAAGGGCCAGAACTGACCCAGGATTTGAGGTGTGGCCTCACCAGTGCCCAGCACAGGGGACAGTCCCTGCCCTGGTCCTTCTGCCCACACTATTCCTGGCACAATAAAGCATCACATAGCAGACCCCTTTAAAATAATGTAGGCCTTTACCTTGAACAAGGATCTTTCCCAAGGTACTGGCATTTCCAGCAGGACTGGAAGCAAAGCACATGTACTGTCCTGTGTCAGCACCTGTCAGGTTGTCCAAGATCAGCGTGCAGGAACCGTCAGGATCTTCTATTATAATGTGATGGGGATCCACCTCCACTGGCTTTCCATCTGAAAGGCAAAGGGAAGTGATTTTTTTAAAAATCTCTTAGTAGCCATTACGTTTTCTCCTTGGGATGTATCATGCTTTTCCACTAGAGAGGACTGAGAGCTGTATTTGCTTTATTGCAGCTGATGTTGGTAGCTGAGGAATGAGCTCCTCATCTTTTTGTCCAGCTCTCTGTAGGATATCCTGTGGGCAAAGCACTGTCGAGGGACCTCACACATCGCCAATCCTCGCTGAGCAGTGACAGTTTTCCAGAGAATGTGCTGTGCACTCACAGCTCTGGTTTGCCAGCCACAGGAACACCTCCAAAGTGACCATAAACACGGTCACCAGGCTTGGGTATCTCGAGCTGAGCAGCTCTTTGATTACCCACCAACCAATTATCAAATAATACGGACAGAGGACAAATTAGGAGGAGGCATTTCATGGCTTCCTGCCCCTACCTTTGTACCAGCTGATGGAAGGTTTGGGAGCTCCCACCACTTTGCAAGCCAGCTTGACTGTCTCTCCCAGCTCAGCCGTGCAATCAGCCAGCTCTTCCTCAAAGTCTGGAGGTACTGAAACAGCAGGAGAAGTTGTGTTAGTCTGGAGGAGGGTCTGTCCAAGAGTGGCTGCTGCTATGGAAGATAAAAATAAATTTGCAAATCTCTGAGCTTCAGAATGGGAAGCTAAGGCTTTTTCAGGTGAAATGCTTATCTGAGACTAAATTCAGTCCACCAAATGTCTGTTGTTGACCCTAAAGATAGGCCATATTAAAAAAAAAATTTGTTGCTGACCATGCTTTTTAATGAGCACATCCATTATTCACACACATGTCACCATTAACATAATTCCTCGAATAAAATGTACCCTGGATATCCAAACCGTTGGTCTCCATCCAATAAAATCTAGAGCTTTCTAGAGTCAAAGAATCCTAGGGTGGTTTGGGTTGGAATGGATCTTAAAGATGATCTAGTTCCAACCTCCTGCCATGGGCAGGGACACCCTCCACTAGATCAGGTTCCCCTAAGCCCTGTCCAACCTGGCCTTGAACGTTTCCAGGCATCCACATCTTCTCTGGGCAACTTGTTCCTCTGTTAAGGGACTTTTAACTCATTATTCCCATATGAAATGATGCACAATTACTCTGATAGCCTTCCTCATTAAAACACCTCACTAAAGGAACAAGAATTAAATGCCCAGACTTGTTTTCAGGGTATATAGATTAAATACAACCCTCTTCTGGCATTTTAAGATGCCAAATATCCTTACACTGTTGTGGACACCATTTGTAGCTTGTGCCTGGAAAATAAAGATTCAATATCCCTGCTCATAAATGCTGTGGATAGAAAATTGGTGGAATCTCAAATGACACTGAGGATGATGCAGCCTGGATGACCAGAGAAAATTCCAAAGCAAACCCCAGTGCACAGATAACAGCAGTTTAAGCCAGAAGTCAAATAGAGGGTCTGATATCCAAAAAAGTCACAGGGGCATTTATATTGGTGAGTGCAGGACTCTGGATCAGAGCCCAACCCCAACTCTCTCCACTTTTCTTATGGAATAGGTATTTCAACCCTCTGATCTCCTGTGTGGCCTCCTCTGGACTTGCAGCAGCAGCTCCACATCCTTCTGATGTTGGAGGTCCCAGAGGTGGATACAACACTGGAGGTGGAGCCTCCCAAGAGCAGAGCAGAGGGGCAGAACCACCTCCCTCATCTCTGCCCACGTGGTGTTTGGATCACCTTAAAATTCCCTCCCCCTGTGCTCGTTTCCTTCCTGAGCCAAGGAGACCATCCAAGAGAAAAACAAAACAAAACAAAACAAAACAAAAAACCAGGAGGGTTGGGCTGCCTTGGGGCCACACTTACTCCAGATGGGCTCGCTGATGCGCTGCTGTATCCCCAAGATCTCCTTCACCCAGGAGTTCTTGATGTTGACGGTCCGTGCCTGCAGGAGGTACTTGCGCACCAGGTCCTCCCGCTCGTGCCAGATCTCGAACGCCCGGTCGTCCCCTTCCACCAGGTCGTTCACATCGATGTTGTTCAGCTGTGTGGCAGAAGGGCAAGGAACTCAGCAAGTTCTTAGGAATTCCCAGCAGCAAAAGGAATTCTCAACAGCTTTTAAAGGCTTTTTTTTTTGGGGGGGGGGATTGCGTGAGCAACGCAATATGGCTTTGGTGAACAGCGATCAGAGGTGCTTCGAGAGCTATTTTCCCCACTATACTTGATTTTCTGGTTCCCAAACTGACATTTTACTGGGAATAATAATCCCATTTCAAGAAAATAATGTAACATATTTTCCCATGACTATCAATTAAGACAGAGATAAGGACTTTCAGGATGCCCCGGCTGAGCTTGGTCAAGAACTCCCTGGGTTTTTTGCAGTTGGTGGGTTTTACTGGAGTTGAGCATCTTTTGCCTTGTGAAAACTCCTTCCTCAATTACTTTCAGTCTTAATTCTGAATGTCTGAAGACTAGTTGGTCAAATCCTCTGAATTCTTTTTCATTTCTAAACTGGAATTTTCGTGTCTGGAAAGGGTGTGACCAGCAGAGGGAACCCCACGGAATGTAGTATAATATTTCTTCCAGTTTATTCCCAGTATTACAGACTGCCAAAACCAGAGATTTACAAATGCCAGTAAATATTATAAACAGCAAAATTCACCTCAATATAATGCACTTATGGTATTAACTCAATGAGGCAATGAATTAATACTTGTAATTTCATTGCTACGTCCAGGTTCTGATTGTTTCTGACATGTTTCTGTCAATTCTGAAATGATATTTTGGGGTAAATGTTGATTTTTACTTGTGCTTCAAAGACTTTTTGAAACAAAGGAATAGCTCAAAAGGATTAGAGAAACATCCAAGCTGGATATAAATGTGAAGTGACAGAGAAATGCTCCAGGGGAGGACAAAGTGGTCAGACCTTCATGATGTTCTTGAAGATGTAACTGTAGGTGTCTGTCTTTGTGTCTCGCTTCGGTTTGCAGATCACAAGGTAGTTTTTGAAGAGGAAAACATGTCTTTTGTGTCCTTTCCATGCCATTCTAGCCCCTGGAGCTCCTTCCCACACAATGAAGTGGCCCTGATAGGAAATAGAAGGGAGAGCACCTCGTGATGCATCTGGAATAATTAATAAATATCAGTAATATTATAATATAATAAAAATTATGATTTCACTGTAATTTTTCAATGAACAGATAAATGTTTCCTGTGACATCATCAGCTGGTGTGTCTCTGGTTTAATTACAGCACAGCAGATGGGTTTTAACGCTAAAGGTGACTCACCAGACTGACAGAGCCACTGGGGGCACACACAGGGGTTGCCATCACACTGTCCCTTCAAAGGTGTGCTTTGTTGCCAGAAAAATACAGAGCACTTTTGGAAACACCAATGGAAAACTGCATTTTGTGTGTTATACAGACAATTTATATGGTGATTTTGATTTTGTGGCCTTCACCAGAGCAGGACATTAATTCCACACACCTTCAGACACAGCTCAGTTAGGAAAAAGTAAACACTCTTGGGGTGTGATTGGACTCTTTTTTTTTGAGTATCTAAACGGGGGTAGATGAATCCCCACTGCTGTAATTCAGCCTTACAACTCCACTCAGGAATGCATCATGATTCCCATGGAAAACATTGGATACAAACAGACACAATAAATGCCCAGAATGGCAAGTAAGTCTATAAAGAAATGGGAATTTGAGTAAGTGTTGAAAATCCCAGACTGATGTCCTAATAGCTGGGTCATCTTTCCTCTGTGATTCTAAATCCCACTCCTGGTTCATGGGAGAAACTTGGAGGAGAATCAGGCCTTTAGATGACAATAATTTCAGGAGTTGGCCCCGTGTAGCTTGGGAATAATAAGAGAGGAAGAGGAGGAGGGAGAAAAAATAAAGTGCTTTAAAATCATGTGGGATCCCAGAACAAATCTCTTGCTGTTTGGTGAGTGGACGAGCAAGAAATGGGGGAAGCAAAATCCCTCTTTCACACACGGTTCCTAAAGGAGCTTCCTGTAGGAATTCAGGCTACTCAGGAACCAGTGGAGGCACAGATGGCACCAAGACCACCGAGAAATTCCAGTTACCTGCCGGATGGGTTCGCCAAGGCTCTCCAGGGTCCCTGGATAGTTCTCAATCAGGGAGACGTGCAGGTTGTTCTCTGCCCTCCGGGTCAGTGCAGACACCACAGCATAAGCCTGTTCCAGCAAGGTGCAGTTCTGGCTGTTCCTTGCTTTGTTTTGGATTAATTCCTGTAGATGAATGAAGGGCAATCAGAGGAAAAACCCACACTGCCTTCAGGGCCAAAGAGTTTCTCAATATCTTTTCCAATTCTTTCATCTGAGTAACTTTTATCCTTTTTTTTCCACCATGTGCTGCTTAGATAATCAAGTATTTTCTTTCCTAAAGCTGTAATGGCTAACCAGTTTGGCTTTTCCTTATATCAGTTAATATTAAACAAAGTTGAAACAAATAAAAATACAGAAAGTGACCGAAACCCAACAATTCCAAACCAAAATGTATCCATTGCATTTCTCTTCTGCTTCCCCTCACACCACCACGGGACAAGCAATTCATGTGACAGAGCTGATCTGAGAGTCGACATCAGAGTAATAAAAACAGAGGCTGGGAGAAATATCAAATGTCAGTTTTCCTGCTTTTTTCCTGTTCCTCTCTTTCAGAAATGAAGGCAGGGAAAGTGCTTTCACTCTTCCAAGACACCCTTGAAAAATTTGGTGTTTGTGTCCAAGAACGTGTTCAAAATTAGCAAGCTCTTCAAACTATTCAAATTGCTCATTTAAATAACACTAGAGCACCCAAATATTTTGGCATGACTGTCTTCTTCCTGGACACCCTAATGCTCTGGCCCACGAAAATGCTGTTTAAAATGCTACTCTGGAATGTTTGCTCATGGCCTGGGCCATCAGGACAGAACCTGAGCCAGCAGGACAGATTGAAGCTAGAAAGATTTAATGTTTCGGGGTGGTAGAACGGGGCAAAGCTTTTCAGAAAATAAAAAAACTCCATCTTACTACAATGGCAGCACAAAAGACAAGTTAAAAAAGTGGTAAGTTTGTATCTTACACATTTGAAAATGCTTATTTTTATGGCATAAGTGTTGCTTTGTTTGAAGCAAATTGATACTTGTCATGGATATATAAATACATGAAGCCATATATATATGTATATAAATATATATATTTATATTTACATACTTACATAGATGTATTTAAAAGTCGTTCAGATAAAGCTCATGGAATTTTAAGTGGTCAGAGATTGTGAACCTCTACCTGGACTTACATTTACAGAACTATTTAGAGAAAATCACCACTGGTGATGGTTACCCTCTTATTTAGACAATCAGCTCTCAATTGCAGTTGCATCAGAAGGAAGACAAGAAATAGGAAATAAAAATAACATCTTTTTCTCCCCAAGCTGCACAGAGCAGAACATAAACCTGTCAGATACAAACAAAACCTCCTTACCTTAATTATTGTCTGATACTGCTGGATCCTGTTTATGGGTTTTTCCAGGTAGTGCTGCAGGGGTGGGATAAGCGGCTGGGAAGGATCTTCATTAGTTTCAAATTCATCCGTGTATCTCTGGAAAAAAAATACACGGAGGAATGAGGAAAGGTTGTTACAAAATAAAATAGAAGTAATGAGTCCCTGGAAAACGGGAGTAATTGCCCCTGGGAAGGGGTGGTGAGTGTGAACACGGGCAGTTGTTTTGTAGTGAGCATCAGGCTGCAGTAATTGCTAAGTAAGATTACAAAATATATTAACAATCCTTCTGAGGAATCCCATTTGTGATTAATAACCACATTTCTCCACGCAGTGGGTTATGGGAGGCCCTTCCCACAGGTTTGGTCAGTGCCTTACCTTGTAGAAGTCCTGGACAGCTTTGCTGACGACGACGGACTCGGCCTGTACCCTTCCCACCAGGTACTGGATGTACTTGCTGAACTCTGCCTCGTGCTTGATGAAGCACATGGCCACGTCATCATCGGTGTCACAGCCCTGCAGGCTCCTCAGGAAGACGCTGTGGAGGCAAAGAGGAGAGGACAGCTGAGGAGAAGGTTGGTGGGGTGAGGCTGCAACACAGCCCCAGCAGCCAGGCTTGGAAATGGGGATGTGTCGGGAGAAGACAGGTCGGAGGAGACGACCGGGGAGGGGAGGAGGGATGTTGCCACATCGGCGTCAAACAGCTCAGTGACTCCTCATCCAGCAGGATGCTGAGCCTGTCAGCTTGGATGGAGGTGTGAGAAGTTCTGACAAGGGCGTGGAGGGACAGGACAAGGGGCAATGGTTTCAAACTGGCAGAGGGCAGGGTTAGGTTGAATATTGGGAAGAAATTCTTCCCTGTGAGGGTGTGGGGAAGGACTGGAATGGATTTCCCAGAGGAGTTGTGGCTGCCCCATCCCTGGAAGTGTCCAAGGCCAGGTTGGACGGGGCTTGGAGCAACCTGGGGTAGTGGGAGGTGTCCCTGCCTGTGGCAGGGGGTTGGATCTGGATGGTCTCTAAGGCTCCAAACCATTCTATGATTCTGTGAAATGCCCTGCAAGGAAGGTAGGGAGAACTTCCAAGGTCTTGGCTCAAGCTGGGACATTAAACCCTCCCCAGATCCTCATGCCTGAGTTTAAGGCTCTCTGAGCCACCCCCAAGGAGTGAAGACAGAGATCCCCACTCTGTTTCATGGGGGATGTGGTGGCAGGTGCATGTGTACAAAGCCAAAGGGGGAAACAGAAGGGAACTCTATTTTCTTGGCCCAGATCTGCAGCAAATCCTTGGAGAAGGCAGAATCATTGTGCCATGTGGGCAGCCTGCCCCTGCTGGATGTGTTTGGATTGCATGAATGTTCAGTTTTAGATGAATTAAGGTCTCTGTGAAGGCACCACTGAAGTCTCTGTAAGATGCTGCTGCCTTTTCCAATAATAATTCACTATTTTTCAGTTAAGTTCACTTAAAAGAGTAAGAAATAAACTGGACATATGAAGCCTTGAAGCTCTGAAGGGTACTATGGAAGTCCCAACCCCATGCTCTGATTGAAGCCATGCCATCACTTATCATCTTGAAAGGAACATCAGTATTGTTGCACCTCCCTATTGCCAGTGCTTCACATTAATACCACTATTATTATTATATAATATATATAAAATATAATATGTGTATAATAATATAGCAAAACATAATAATAATAATAATAATAATAGTAATAATAGTGAGGCTCTGACACCTTGTATGTGAACCACTCCTTGGCCTCAAAGGAAGGCACATGGGAATGCCCACCTGGAATGGAAGCGACCAATGTCATCAATATTCCTGAAGATGGTGGATTTCTGGCTGGCTACAGCTCCTGGGACGTTGGGACAGGTCTCTGTGTACTTGAGGTGATGAGTCAGGAGGAACTGCAGGTCTTGAATGTAATCCTCCTCGGAGACCAGCAGCTCCTGAATGAGAACACTGAGGGGAAGACGAAGAGGTTAAAAAGAAATCACAGGAAAATCACTCACAGTTGTCCTTGAGATGCATCCTCAGACACAGAGCACCCCAAAGTGCAGAGATGCTTCAGTTTAGGATCTTGTGAAATCAGAGATCTTCCAGGATTACATCTTTTAAACCCTCCTTTAAAGTCATCCAACATGAAAAAAGGTTCTGGAGAGAACTGAGAGCACCTTCCAGTGCTCCTTGCCTAAAGGGGCTCCAGGAGAGCTGGAGAGGGACCTGGGACAAGGGATGGGGTGACAGGACAAGGGGGAATGGCTTCAAGCTGACAGAGGGCAGGGTTAGATGGGATACTGGGAAGGAATTCCTGGCTAGGAGGGTGGGGAGGCCCTGGCACAGGTTGCTCAGAGAAGCTGTGGCTGCTCCATCCCTGGAAGTGTCCAGTGCCAGGCTGAAGCAACCTGGGCTAGTGGAAGGTGGAAGGGGTCCCTGCCCATGGCATGGAGTTGGAATTGGACAATCTTGAAGGTCCCTTCCAACCCAAACTATTCTGGGAAGGCCTGGAATTTTCCTAGGCTGAAATCAATGGCAAAGCCTGATCAAAGATCCCAAAATATGAGTCTAATCTAATCTAATCCAATCCAGGGTTTGCTTGATCCTGGGAAAGGGAAGGGGGCAGGACTGAGCAGAACAGGAGCAGTGACTCTGACAGGAAGGACCTGGATGTCAACACCCCTGTCAGTTGAAAAGGCAGGAAAACTCCAAGGTGCAAATACCCCATGGCACAAGCTCACCTCAGCTTCCTTTTATACTCATCTTCAGAAACAAACTCTCCAGGAAACTCGGGGATTTCTGTTGTCCCCCACTCTGGTGACAACTGCAACACAAGAAAAAAGGGAACGTTTTTCTTTTAAGTGACTTTATCACTTTATTCCTCTGCAGTGCTTTTATCAACGCACACTGAGGAATGGCCCTCATGTGCTCACAGTCCCTTTCAAGAATTCCCAAACCGGTGTGACATTTCTGTTTTGCTGGAAGGTGGTTTGGCCTTGCCAACCCAGGCACCTCTGCGCACACCACAATTATTGCCTAATCAAAACGTGAAAAAGTCTGTGGCCACGTCCCAGATCCCTTCAACAAGGGATCCCTTCAAGCTCCTTCCAAAAGGGATGGCTCCAAACTGCCACAGGAGCAAGGAATTTTGGATGCAAAAATAACCAAGGACGATCAGTCACCTTTAGTTTCTTGTCCAGGTAAGCTGGAGAGACCCAACCCTGTCGAGAGGGACTCGATTTCGTGGGTTTAGTCCTGACCAACCACTTGAGAGGATGAGCTGAATCGAGGACTTCCACGTACTGCCCTTCCTTCAGGGTGATGGTCTCCCTGTCAGGTGCAGCAGGGGCGTAGTCAGCAGTGACCATGTAGACATCAAAGATCTGCAGGAATGAAACAACAGTTATTTTGGGGTCTGGAAATGGGACAGAGCAACACCAGCAGAATGAAAGTGCTTGTCTCCGTTTAGCGTTTCGTTCTCCAGCCTTTGTAGGGTGAAGGAAATCGCTTTTTGTAAGTGGGAGACTAAAAAAAACTCTTGGAGGCTTTCAGGTGTTTTCAGAACTGTCTATCTGAGCTGGCTCATATTTACACAATGAAACAGAGAGCTTTTCTCCAAAGGCAAAGAAAAACCCATCCAAAAACCTCCAAAGCCAGGGGGTCCTGAAAATTTCAAAATAAGTTGACATTTCAAAAGTTTTAAATTTTTTTATTTATTTTATTTTATTTTTTTTTAGGAAGTGTTTTTGACACGATCACGTAAAAAAAAATTCTAATTTCTAATTTTTCACGAAATTCTCATTTTTGCAACAATATTCTCCCGGCCAACTGCCTCCAAGGCCCACAGAAAATCAAGCTCTGACTTTTGCACCACAAATCGATCACTTAACTATTAAATGCACCTTCTAAAGGGAATTACAGCCCTCAGCTATAGAAAACTGGCTATTCTGAGTCAGGCTTTCCCCTGGTGTCAAACTTGTCCCTAAAGATATTGTACCTCTCCTCTGGAATCCCCATCTTCAGACTCTGAGGAGGATTCCTGAGCTACGGATGAAGGTCTGGACCTCCCGTGGCGAGGAGATGCAGATGGAGTTCTTGAATCATCATCACTTTCTGCACCCGGCACCCGAAGCTTGGCTAAAAAGGAAAGCCAAGTGGGAAATAAGGATAAATCTGTAATAGTTTTCAGTTTCTTCAAGGCAAACATTCCCTGGGAAAAGCATTTGTAGTTAGTTCAGTGTTGTTTCCTGCAGATATTTAGGATTAAATAAAATCTTGGGATGTTTTAATCCAGGTATTGCCACTGCACTGCAGGAATATTTCTTGGAGAAATAATGCCTCTATTTTTGTTTCAAGTCAGAATTTTTCCACAAGATGATCAGGACAAACACAAACCAGGGATTTTGATTTAATTCTTTTATTTCATTAATAAATTATGGCTGAGAGTGCAACTCATTGCACCGAATTTTCAGCCTTAACTTGATTTTAAAACCCCACTGTGAGCTAAAACTTCAAGATGTGAGAAGCCTTGAAAGCAGGTTTGTTTTCCAACTCAGGAGGGCTGAATATCTGAAGAAACTGAAATATCTAAGATGGGAAAAACACGCTTCTATTTTTAGAACTTACTAAAATAGCTTTTTTTTTTCCTAGTTCCAAACTGTAAACTAAGACACAGTTTGGATGGACTCCCACTAAAGTTTCTTAGTCCTGAGCTTATGTGGGATAATTGGCTCCAATCCTACTGCATAAATCTCACTTTTAATTAAACAGCACCTAAAAATAAAAATGATTGCGATTTTTTTCCCCCCACAAAATTAAACTGTGTTTGGCAGGTTCCTTACCCTGAGTTATTTTTGCAGACACCATTTCCGAGATCCGTGAGGTGAGTTTCTGGAAGAACTCCTCTGAGCCAACATCAGCTAATGAAATAGGGCTTTTGGGAACACCTTCCCTTCCTTCAAGGTCTCCTGGAAAAGAGAGAATCTGCTTTTAAGATGGGAATTGGGAAGGAAACTTTTTTTTTTTTTTTTGAGTAATAAAAGCTGCTGCGGAGGGAAAGTCTGTTTTTCTTCCCTTCTCCTGCTTTTAAAATTGTGCTTGCTCACAGTCCCCCCCAAAATAATTCACCCTTGAACAGAGAGCAGTCTGAGAACTGAAGTGTCAAAATTTCAGGCAGTTTCAAGAAAATGGGACAAAACTGGCTGGTAATCATGAAATACATGGACAACCTCAGCTGTAGATGTGAAAGGCAGGAGTAGGAGAGAGGAAATATCTTCTCTTACCTTCTCTTGCTTCGGAGGGATGAATAGCTCTGAAAAATAAAGCAAAACAGTTAAAAGTGAAAGTAAAATGGGTGGTAAGGAGAGCTAAACGAGGAACACATTCCCCCTTCTCCCACCACGGATAGAAAGGGAATATCTAAATTAGGGCTCTGGTTTGGGCTGCAGGTGCTGGGAGTTGTTGATACACAGCAGGGTCGCTGTGAGAGATGAGAATTGTGGCACCTGGCTCATACAGCCACAAAAAAAAAGTGGGTGTTTTAAACTTGGAGCCAGATCCCATCTGAGAATTCTCCTTATTCCCGACTTTCATTTCAACCTTGAGCGCTTGAGATGCCCAGGGATGGGTTGCAGAACGGAGCAGGCTCCATCTCCCTGGTGCTACTTATCCCCAGCTGACACTGCAATAAAACTTCTGCAGGCAGAGACGTGATGTCAGGCGGGATCTGTGGTGTCAGTCAGTTTTCAGAGGACTAATAATGCTCAGCAGTTCCCAGTGGTTTCATCAGGACACCAAAGTCCGGGTAATAAGTGTCCAGCTCTGCTGTGATCTGCTCCCATCACATCAGGATACCCAGGGTTTGGGAAACAAGGGGGTACTGCCACGGTTTGGAGGTCCAAAAAGCCCTTTCTCACACCGACAGCTTTTACCAGCCCCAAATTAATGCATGCCAGCAGGGAAAGGGCAGATTTTTTTTTTTCCCAGATGTGAAGAACCACCAACATTTGCTTGGGTCTCTTGAGGGGAACTTGTGTGGTATTTCCTGAGATTAAAGCTCTGCAAAAATTAATATCCTGCTGTCAACATCTCTGCCATTCCCGAGCTTTTTTGGGGGGAGGATATAAATTTTCATTGCAAAAGCTGGTCATCCCTAATTCTCTGTTAGGAAGCAGGGGGAAGCTCACCCCACCTGATAAATGATAAATCACATTATCACTGGATCACACATCACTGGGAGAGGCTGCAGGGGAATAGGTGAAGTCACACTGCAGCTTTCTGCCTTTCCTTCACATTTCAGAGGAAAAACTGGTCAAGCTTTTTTAGGCCAGACGTATTTCCAGCAGCTAATTTATGTTCAGAGGGTAGCACTTTCCAGACTGCATCTGCCTAAAGGCCAAACCAAGAACAGTGAACTGAGGAGATTAACCCTTCAGATGCGTTTGTGAACAAGAAATTTGCGAAATGGACCCTTTCCATCTGCTTTTATTGTGTATTTCAATATTGGCAAGTGACAGCCAGACCTCGGCCCTGCGAATTTTCTTTGCGTTCTGCCCAGGAGATGAAAAATAGTTTTATACGACCTACACAAATTCATTTACTTTTTTCATCCCCATTCCCATCCTGCCTGATCATCAAGAACAAATGTCTGAGCTTGATTCAGAGTGTTTACAGCACTTTCCATCCCTGGCTGGCCAAGCACTTACCCCAGTGTGGTCATGATGGCCTCGGACACCATCACCCGCTCCTGGGTCAGAACTTCAGCCTCTTTCACTGCAAGATTAGGGTTTGGCATTAGGGGACAGAAGGCAGGGAATGTTTTTTGGGGGTTTTTTTTTGATGTGTTTAGTGTAGGCACATTTTCTAAGGCATGGATTACTGGGGACACTGAAATACAGAACCTGCAGCAGCTCCTGAGCTGGGATACTCATTCCCACTCCTTTGATGCCAAGAGTTTGCTCCTCCCCCTGGTCACACTCACAGGATTGCCCCATTTCTCTGCACTGCCCAAGCTCTGCTCCTGTAGCTCTTGGTACAGGAAAAAATGTGGGATGCAAGGAAGGATAACAGGAAAATGGGGTCCTTCACAGTGCTGCCCCTACTCTCAGCCTACATTTGCTTTTCCCCCATTTTACTGAAGGAACAAGTGTCAAAAGAGGCCCTGGAAAGCTCTGTAAAAGGGAAGTCAAGTAATTTTAGCTGCCTTAAGGTGATTTTACATTGCAAAATAAGAGAGTGAAGCACTCAAAGTAATTTTTAAAATGATGCCTTTTATGTTACACTGCCTTTCTCTCTTTCTCTTTTTTTCTCTCTTTTTCTTTCTTTTTCTTTATTTCTCTCTTTCCTTTTTTTCTCTCTTTTTCTTTCTCTCTCTCTCTCTTTTTCTTTCTCTTTTTCTTTCTTTCTTTTTCTTTCTCTCTTTTTCTTTCTTTCTTTCTCTTTTTCTTTCTTTCTTTTTCTTTCTCTCTTTTTCTTTCTTTCTTTCTCTTTCTCTCCTTTTCTTTCCTTCTCTTTCTTTTTCTCTCTCTTTTTCATTTTTTCTCTTTCTTTTTCTCTCTCTTTTTCTTTATTTCTCGCTCTCCTTTCTCTTTCTTTCTTTCTTTCTTTCTTTCTTTCTTTCTTTCTTTCTTTCTTTCTTTCTTTCTTTCTCTCTTTCTCTCTCTCTAATTTGTGCTTAATTTGCGCTTAATTTGCTTGTTCCTTAAACTTGCCCCCTATTTATACAGAAAAGGTGCCCCTGTAATAGAAGACAGAGCAAAAGTCTAAACTATTATAGAAGTTAAGAATAAAACCATTTTCAAGGTGAGAAAAGTCATGGCTGATCTTGAGAAAACGCATTTTTTTGGCGCATGATTTGACAATTTCCTCATCAGTCACACTTGTTTTTTTCCTCTTGGGCACTGCATAAAAGGGGAAAACCCAGAGAATGTGTTTGTGATTTACCATCTGCAACCTCCAGGTTGGCCGTGCAGATGGACTGGCCGGCCTTGTTGGTGGCGATGCAGGTGTAAGCTCCACTGTACTTCTTCTTCACATCCAGCAGGATCAGGCTGTGGTGCATGTTGGAACTGGCAAGTTTATAGCCAGGGGTGTCTGGTTTGATCCACAGGATGTCCTCCCGGGACTCCTCTTTCATCCAGGTAATGGTTGGGGGTGGATGTCCTAAAGGAAAGGGAAGGGATGAGCTTTAATCCTCCTAATTGTGTTCCTTCCTCACAAACATGAGCCATGCTGGGAGTAAATGTTGTTTTGATCCATTTCCTGACCCTTCTCCAGCAATAGCAGGCACAATATGCAATGAGGGAACATAAATTACTTTGCAGCACACTCAGAAGGAGTAAAACCAAAACTGTTAATAAATCTTCATAAGGCGAATAAATGCTGTTATCCTTGTTGTCACACACAGGAAGACAGAGGTGGAGATGAATAAGATGCTTTTGTGCAAAGTCTCGTTGTAAGAGCTGCAAACTGGGAGCGGAATCCCAGACCTGAGGTACAGGAGATGAGGTTACAATGACTTGGGGCAGAGAGAGTCCAGAATGTCTCATAAAGTCACACCATTTCTTAAGCAGAGACACGAGGTATCAACCCACTTACCTTCCACTTTCACAGATAATGTGATGCTGGCACCTTTTTTCACCTTTTTATTGGTAAATCTTTCAAGGAACCTGGGCGGTATCAGCTGCTCATGGGAATCTGAAAATAACATTATTGATGGAACACAGTGAGTTTAGACCGAAAGATTCCTGGGGGTTCTGTTATGTCCTGCTGTGGCTTCTCTCACCTGTTTTGGATGGCTCCTCTTTCTCATAAGGGTCTGTAACGAAAGGAGAAAAAACAAAATGAAAAATACAAATAACTTTCAATCCGTGAGTTGCAGAAAAAAAACACCCCAAAGGTGACTCCAGGAGGTTATTCCTTTCTGGAGATTATTACACAAAAATGTTGGTATGATTCATAAGAGGTCTTCGGTTTAATAAAAGAAACTTTGAAAGTTAATGAGGTTGGGCAGGAATAAAATGCATGTTTGGGAGCACCTGGAGAAGTGATGTGTCTCACCTTCCTAAACAGTGAATTTATTGGTGAACCAAAATTAAAGCATGTCCTCTTTTATCTACAGACTTCCCCACCTCACTTGGTAGGGTTTCTCAAGAAAAATAACTTTAGAAAATGGGGAAAAAAGCCACTGGAATAGAGAAAAGGGCCCGAAACCAGTGCAATGCCCACCTCTGACCACCAGCCTGGCCGAGGAATACGCAGAGCCCGCAGAGTTGATGACAAAGATCAGGTACTGCCCAGCGTCAGCCTTGGTGACATCCCGAATTTCCAGGGAGTGGAACTCCTGCCTGTCAGTCTTCAGGATGCGATCAGAGGCCTTCAGGGGCTGCCCATTCTTGAACCAGTAGAGACGAGGCTGTGGGTACCCTGCGAGGAGCAGTTACGGACATGGGGGACAGAATTCCTCGGCAACATCCATTTGGGAGCACCTCCAAACAGGCAGACCCTTCTGGGCAGGAGGCAATGAACCCCCAGCTCTGCCCTGGGCTGCTGTTTCAAGGATTCACCCAATTAGGAACAGCTAAAAAATTCATTAAATTCTATTTATCTGTTAAATTTCTTTCCTGACTCCTCAGTTTCTGGCACTCCCCATGCTGGTTGCGAGTGCAAAAGCTTTAAAGGCTGAAAAAACCACCCCTGGGTCTGATTTGAAACGTACACAAGGAGAAAAGCTGAGGCCAAAGCAGTTCTTATAATTTTTATAGGCAGCAATAGGAGAAAACAGGAAAATCCCCACCTCTCCTTGCCACAGTGAACACCAGGAAGATGTTTTGGCAGTTTTTAGGTTGTGGCAGCCACCCCCTCATGGAATAAGGCAAGTCCACAACTGTTTAATTTATTTAAGAGAATAAAGGACACCCTTACTTTATTATTATTATTACTACCATCATTATTATTGTTATTGTTATTATTATTATTATTATTATTATTATTATTATTATTATTATTATTATTATTCCCTATTGCTCCTGTGCTCAGAGAAACACAGAACTCAGTTTTCAGAAGCACCTGGCCTGTCATTATGCTTGCAGACACTTTATCAGCTGCAGGAGTCCGTTTTCATCAATGTTCATCAGCATGAACATGATTCTCCAGGCTGGTTTGTGCTCTGCTGGTGCAAGGTGTACCAACTGCAGAAGAGCACCAACCTGACATCAAACCTGGAAAACTGACAGCACTGTGGGATCCACTCACCTTTGACCTTCAGGTGAAATTTAGCCAGCGATGCTCCAGGTGCCACGTGGATGTCATGAAGCTCATCAAAGATCTGGGGCAGTTGCTCCTCCTCAGTGGTGGATTCCTCCTGCTCTCGGCTAAGAAGCGAAAAGAATTAGAAAGAGGGAAGTCAGCAAGGCAGATAAGAGTTAGGAATCAGAATGGCCTATTTTAGGTTAATTCAGACTGTGGGTTTTGTCATCACGACAGCAGATTCGGCACCATCTGACACTGAAGTAATGGAGTGACACCATGAAGAAATATCCAGGCTTGCCTGAGGGCAGCCAGAACAAACGTGCATGTGATAAATGTCCAGCTGCTGCAGTTTTTGCATCTCAGCTGGTCTGGCTGCTCCTTTGTGACATTAAACTGGTCCTGCTACACGGGGTAAAACCAGGCTTGACATAAATATATGCACTGATCTCATCGAGTCAGAAGCTGGAGCGAGAGTCTGATATTTTACCTTGAAATATATTCTTTGGCACTGTAGTAAGAGGACGTCTCTGTTGCATCTGCTGCTGTCTCATAGTCAGTGCTGGTCACTGTTAAATGGAAGAAGATGTGTTTTCTGTGATCTGAGCTTCGAAACTATTTTTATTTTAATTTTTTTTTACTTATTATAGTTCTTGCTGTAATAAGTAAGTAGGGGGATTTAAAAGAAAAATAAGTTCCTTTATTAATTCCAGAGTGACTGGTAGGTAGATTTCCCACTAAGATTTCCCTGCGGCAGGATCCCACATGACACTGGCCTGTGGGAAACACCTCTGTTTACCTGAAAAGCTTTGCCCTGAGCCTTGCCTTGGAGTTGGCAAAACCCACCTGAACCCACGAGGCAAAATCCAGCTGAACCTCAGAAACTTCAGAGTTTTACAAGTGGGCAATACATACTTTTATAAATAAGTAAATGATGTTTTTCTTGGGGGAAAAAAAAATAAAATTATCCACCTCCCAAAAGGACCCTTTCCCTTGTTTGTTTTTTTCCCTACAGATTTCGAGACTCACGGTCCACTCGAAGCTCAGCCTTGGTTGAAGCCACTCCCATGTTGTTCTCAGCCAGGCAACGGTAAACACCCATGTCAGTGGGGACCACAGCGGTGATGATGAGCTGGTGGCACCCCTCCTGGTCCTCGTTGATCATGTAGTGGTCGTTTTCCTCAATAGCTTTCCCGTCCTTGAACCAGCGGACCGTGGGGAGCGGTTTGCCGATGACAATGCAGTCAAAGCTGACCGGGTACCCGTCCTGCACCTCCTGGTTCTGCAGCTCAGTCATGAACATGGGAGCTGAAGTGGGGGTGGTGGGAGAGGAGAAAGGAGGAAACTCGCGTTAAAAGGTGCATTTGAAACGCCCACTGACTGAAGACTTGTGGTTTCTGGGGTTTTATTTTCAGGGGGATGTCTAGGAAAACAGGCAAGAAGGAACTCCCTGACGAACGCCACGAAGACACTCCACATCACAGTAGCCAACTATGCATTTTCTCTCCTCTTCTCCTTGCCAAAATGTCTTGTCCCCCTCAGGACCGTTCTAAAAACTGTTTTGTTCATTTAAGTGTAATAGTCATAGCATCATTTGTGGCTCTATTATTGTAACAGAAGACATTTATACTGTGAGAAGCAGCTCTATAGATAAGTTGATATTTTACAACCCCCTCCTTCAGCACTAATGTCCTTTCTCTCCTTCTAAATAAAAAAAAAAATAGAAAAATAATTTTTTTCCTTGAAAGTGCAAAGTTTCCAGAAAAATATCTGCATCAAATAAAGAAAAAAAGGAGAAAAAAAAAAAAGATTTTATTTTTGAGTTGTTTGTGAGTGAAAAGATAACATTTTGACCTACTCCAGCTGTCTTTTCACAAACAAAAAAGGAATCCTCAAGCTTTGCTTCCCCTACCTGTGTCAGAAGTCAGCAAAGGCGGAGGAGGTCTCGCTATCGGCGGGGCAAACTTCCCGAAGGTGGGTGGCGACGCCTTCCCGATGCGCAGCTCAACCTTTTTAGGGCCCTGCTCCAAAATGTCGATCTCCACGGGGATCCCCAGGGCCCCGAACATCTCCCTGAACCGAGTGGCGGCCGTTTTGGCCTCGGACAGGACTTCGAACTTGATGTAGATGTACCGCTCGTCCTCCCGGTACGTCTGGTGGTCCACCACGTCGACGTCGCCCTCGTCCGCGCTGACGAAGAGCTCCTCCTCCACGTCAGAGATCTCCGTGGAGATCTTGGCCCTGAAGAGCCTGTGCAGCCTCCTCCCCGCCTTGCGGAAGGCGTCGTCCAGCTCGCTGCCGGACGAGCTCTCCGTCTCGCTGTCGGTGCTCTGCTTCAGCTGCTTCTTGGGCGGCGCCGGAGCTTCCTGAGCGCCCACCGCCACCGTGGCGCTGTGGGAGACCTTGCCAAACTTGTTGGACGCCTCACAGGTGTATTTCCCCGCGTCCTTCCTGTCCAGGCCGGCGATGATCAGCGAGCAGGTCCCGTCGCTGTAGCTGTCGATGTGGTAGTAGCGGCCGTCTGAGAGCTCCTGCCCGTCCTTCAGCCAGCGCACGTTCATGTCGGATTTGCTGTGGGCCACGCACTCCAGGTGCAGGGTGCTGCCAGGCTCGCCAGAGAAGTCTTTGAAGGTCTCGGTAAACACCGGGCACTCCTGCTGCTTGATCTCCTTCCTGACTTTGTAGCCTTTGAAGGCGGCTTGGATCTTCACGGCAGCCTTGTTCATGGAAGGGTCGTCCAAGTCTGGCAGCTCTGGTTCAGCTGGTTTGGCAGCTGTGGTGGTCACAGAAGTCTCCACAGTGGTTTTTTCCCACTGCTTCCACAATTTGCCTGTGGAGGTGGACTGAACCTTGCTGGTAACGCCGACACTTGTCTTCCCAGCTTTCTTTTTTAGGTAGTTCACCAGTGAGGGAGTCCCAGCTCTGGACTCATCGTCTGAGCTCGTGAAAGAGAAATCGGCTTCTCCTGTCCTGGCCAGCTCGTCACACGTAGAATACTCCTCTGAGTAGTAGTGGGACATCTCTGCTTCCTCCTTCCTCAACTTCTGCAGCTTCTCGTCCTCTTCGGGCACCTCGCTGATGGAATCCAGGGTGGGCTCCCGGCTCATCCGGCGCTTCTTGGCCAGGGCTTCCCACAGGAGGTGAAGATCTCCCTCCTGAGCGGCCTCAGGGGGCAAGCTGGGCTGGGCCTGGCCGTCCACCAGCTCCTCTGGTTGGCTTGCAGAGGGTGCTTCCCTGGCAATCTCCTTCAGCATCGCCGCTGTGGGGACTGGGGAGAGTCAAATTGATGAGATGTGGAAAGACAAAAGCCTTGTGAGTGAGCTCTGAGAAACGTGGAAATGTTATCCTAAAGCCTGAGCACAGGAGTATCAGTGGCATTTAACTAAACATTCTGTTAGGGATAAAATGTGGATTTACAGAAACACATAGAAGGTTGGAAGGTCACCTGATCCAACCTCCCTGCTCGAGAAGGGTCCCCTAGAGCACGTTGCTCAGGACAGTGTCCAGATGGTTTTTGAATATCTCCAGAGAAGGAGACTCCACAGCCTCTCTGGGAGGTGAATATGGCTGGACATGGCCCTGGGAAACTTGTTCTTTGAGCAGGTGGGGTCGAGCACATTGTCTTCAGAAGCCCTTTCCAAATTCAGCTACCCTGTGATTCTATGCATGCACTTAAACCATAACCAAACAACAACTTGTTTTTATTATTATTATTCCTTGCATTTTTAAACCAAATAAATACATTTTTCCCCCTTTTTAATGTTGCAGTTGATGAACACCAAACTGAGACTGTCGGGAGAGGCTGGAAAGCTCTTCAGGATAATCCCCTCTTACATTTGGACAGAGCTTCACTGGCTGACTTTAACAGATCTCCAGTGGCTTTGCTGGGTGCTGAGACTCCCACCTCCCATGGACACACCTCACCTGCCTGTTTGGATGTGCCTGAGTCTGAAGGTTGTGAGTCCCCCTCTGGGACACATTCACTTGCCTCTCCTCAGTGCCTTTAGGGATGCTCCAGGTTGTCTGGGGCACCCACAGAATACCCGGGAGCATCTCAAAAGGCACCACAACCCCCATGTAGGGACACATGGGGTCACACCTCAAATTTCTGGCTGAGGAAACTCTTAGATGAGCAACTCAGAACTATTTGGGACACAGAAACATACTGGGGAATATCAAAAACGGAAAACAAAAATTGCTTGTGGATCGTTATCAGGGCTTGTAAAAGAAAGCAAATTCCAGTCCAGGCTGTGGAGATGTCCACAAACAGAACAGATTTAACACCACAGGAATGCACACTCTGTACCTTCAAGACTCAGGCTGGCAACAGATTTGACTTCAGGGGAAGCCATGCAGGTGTAGGTGTCCTGGTCTTCGGGTCTGAATCCGTGGATAACCAGCGTCTGCTTTTTCCCATCGGAGAGGATCTCATACCTCCCCCCAGCTTTTATTTGCTCTTTTCCTTTGAGCCACGTCACTTTCTCCCCAGTTTCACTGGATAATGTGCACTCCAGGCGAGCCACCCCGCCTTCCGTGACTGATCCTCCAACCAAGGGTTTGGTGACTGTAACTGGAGGCTCTGCAAGTGCAAAAAGAAAAGTGAATTAATGCAAGCAACAAATCATAATCTGTCTCCAAGGCACTCCAGATCACTCTCTATCACTCCAAGCACCCCATCCAACACTTATAGATTCATCAGCTGTTGTAGACAACTAAAGGGAAAAAAAAAAGACTGACAGCAACCAAAGTTTGCAGTTCCTGAGACAATATCAAAACAACCTTCCAAGCTTTGCCAGTGATTAACCCATCTCCATCTAAATTTATACATGCAGAAGTGGTTGCATTTTTTCCATTCCTGTGTTTATCTGATAGTCCTCATTTACCCATCCCCAGTATTCAAGCAGTTCTAGAGATTTTTGGAAGATCCTCAATGTTTAGAAGTGAGGCAGTTCTGCAGTGAGATGACGAGAAAGAAACAGTAAAAAACAATAAAAAAGGGATTATTCCAAGCAGCATTCATCCCAGTCTTGAAAGCATAAAAAATAAATTTTTACACTAGCTTAGGAGGAGTAAAAATTACCAAAAAGCACCAAGAATTTAAAAATAAAAATGCTTCACTTTGGAAAGAGACCTGCCAATGGAAGGGTGTTTGTATGACAGTGATACTCAAAATAAAGTTGTGCCAAACGCATTAAACACAGAGGGGCTGACTGGGATGTAAAGCACGGTTAAATTCCCCAAAGCAGCACATTCCTGAGCGTGATCTGCCCCTCTGAAAATTTCACCAGGGAGAGGGAACCCCTGCCCAAAGTGCCTTGGGTTTGTCACAGGCACTTTGTCAGCATGTGCAGAGTCGTCAGAGTCCGGCACTGGCAGTAATTACATGATAAAAACATCATCTTGTGTCTGAGCCTTAAGTAAAAGAGGATTTTTAGGTTATTACTCTCAGTTTGAGGAATTTTTTTTTGGTGTTCTGCTTTCATATAAAGAGTTGCAAGAAAAGAAAGACTGTGGGAGCCCTACCAGATGGGTTACTGATGATCATAGAATGGTTTGGGGCTGGAAGGGACCTTGAAGATCACCCACTTCCAACCCCCATATTCAATACACTGGAAATGAAATTATAATTAAATTATAGTTTGGCTTAGAAGACAGAAATAATTGTTTTAGTCTTCAAGCTCAAGACATTAACCATGTAAATTACCTGCCATGATGTACCAGGCAAATGTGGTCAACAGGCAGTTCTTAAATTCTGGACACAATAAAAATAACATTAAAAAGCACTTTTTTTCTCTATTGTCAGCTAAATTTCATACAGAAAAATCTGTTAACAGGAGGAGTTCATGAGGATTGTATTTTGCAGTTCCTAAAATGCAGGTGCCCAAAATAAGATAAAGACAATTTAAATCTGTCAGATGTCCCACACATGGAGATTTTAATATGGAACTCATTAATCTGGAAAACTGGTTGCCCTGCTCTTGAGCTGACTAACAGATTACGAAGACTTCTTTGCTGTCCTGGATCATTTTTCCATGTGGACTCCAGTTCAGCTCCCTCCTACATCCACATTTTTTGAGGGTGATGTTGAACTCTGAGAAAATTGATTTTCTTTAGAGCCTATGTCACATTTTACAAAAGACTGCAGCTAAAGAAAGTTGGTGAACATCTCTACCATCACCAGCCTGATAAGATGGACTATTTCTGATCAAAGAACAGGTTGCCCAGTAGCATCTTCTCAGACTAAGAACACCACCTTGGGACGTGCGAGGCAAAGGGGAAAGAACTGGAGCAAAGATTAGGAATTTCAGTGCTGTAGCTCAACACGAGATCTTGAGACTCCAAGTGCCACTGGGCTGGAACAAGAGGCACTTACCTATCACAGAAAGCTTGGCTGATGAAATTGCTTCCCTGGAAGCAAAGGTCACCTCTCCAGAGTGGTGCGGCCGGGCTTTTTTCAGAATAAGTTTGTATTTGTTTCCATCTGCTTGTACCTCCCAGTCCTCCCCCGACTGGATCTCTACGTCATTGCTGTACCAGGTCACTTCATTAACGGGCACAGCTTCACTCAGAACACAGCTAAATGTGGCTTTCTCTCCCACAGAGACTTCCACATCCTTGAGAGGCTGCAAGAACTGCAGGCGCCATCCTGTAGATTAGAATCGGTAATCAAGGCCCCTGTTACAGAAACAACCAGGAGATGCCAGGAATATTCATGCTGAAGCTCTGGGCAGCCAGGCCTTGGAGACCAAGGAGATCATTAAAAGGGAGGTTTTGTTTATCACCACAGCTGAAGGTATGGAATCACAGAATGGTTGGAGTTGGGAGGGACTTTAAAGACCGTCTTATTCCAAACCCCCTGCCATGGGCAAGGACACCTTCCACTAGACCAAGTTCAAAGCCCCACCCAACCCATAACTGGGGACTGATGGCTGTTCTTGTACTCTGAAAGGGGTCCTGATCCCCACGGGAGTCTCCAGCAATAGCATAAAGTACAAGGACACAGAGATAATATTGTTGTTGATACAACTCTCATCTCTAAAGCCCTGGAGAACACATAAACACAACCCAGCTCATCAGAATAGTGACAACTGTGAGACAGCCATTTGCTGCTCACTCAGTGCCAGGTGTTGCTGCTTTTAACCACGTCATGTCTTACAGAACAAGTAAATACAAAAACTATAAAACATTATCCATTAAAGGAAGAGAGAATTGGGTTTGTCCAGCCTGGCAGAGAGGTTTTGGGGTGACCTAATTGTGGCTTTCCAGTACCTGAAGGGAGCTACAAGAAAGATGGAGAGAGGCTGTTTACAAGAGCCTGGAGTGGCAGGACAAAGGGGAATGGCTTCAAACTGAAGGAGAGTAGGTTTAAATTAGATATTAGAAAAAAATTTTTACTGTGAGGGTGGGGAGGCCCTGGCACAGGTTGCCCAGAGAAGCTGTGGCTGCCCCTGGATCCCTGAAAGTGTCCAAGGCCAGATTGGATGGGGCTTGGAGCAACCTGGTCTAGTGGAAAGTGTCCCTGCCCGTGGCAAGGGGGTTAAAACCAGGTGATCTTTGAGGCCCTTTCCAACCCAAACCATTCCTTGCTTTTATGGTTCTGTGATTCTTTGGTTCAGTGGTTGCTTGGCAGTGTTGGGTTAATGGATGGACTTAGCGATCCTATAACCTTTTCCAACCTTAACGACTCTATGATTTAATCTTGCAGGAAGAAGATTTAGGTAAGAAGCAGGCAACAAAATGCAACTATTCCTCCCTGCTGCTCGTCACACTCCCCTGGTTCCTTTTCCTCTTTCCAACCAGAAGGTTGAGGACTCCCACCACGCCCGAGCGCTCGAGTTACCTTTCACCGTCAGGAAGGCCGAGGTCACTGCGTCGCTGCACATGAAGGTCACCCTGCAGCTGTCCTGGGGGGTGAGGTTCTTCAGCAGCAGGATGTGCCTGAGCCCATTCTCGAAGTAAACCATCTCGGTGTTCTCCGTGGTCTTGGCGGGTTCATCGTCGATCAGCCAGTTGTAATTGTAGGTCTCAGGCTTGGAGAGGTAACACTCGAACAGGGCTTCCCCTCCTTCCACCGCTTCCACGTTCTCCAGGCCCTGGACGATGCTGTTCTTGGCTGGAAGAGAAGGACAACGAGCAGCATTAGTTATTTGGCCGTGCATGTCTGAAAGTTTACAAGCCTCAGAGCGCTGGATGATTCCCACTGCTGGAAAGCTGATGGAAAAATGTGGATGTGATAAAGTGTGTTTATAAAAAGATTTGAAGTAGTGAGATAGTTTAAAAATAATAATAAAGCTCTAGGGCCTCTAGTATTTCACCTAGATTTCCTCCAAAACCTTGACTTTTCTTCACAAATAAAGAATTGTTTGTATGAATCAAGACAACAGTTGTTAGGATGGGATAGTTTGCAAAGTATAACCAAATTCTTTCTGTCCCATGGCAGGAAACATTTCCCAAAGATCTCCCAGACAGCACAATCATCATCAGAACTTGATAGCTGTCAATCCACTGGCAGCTCATGGTATAATCTTGCTACTTTTCTTGCGAAGCAAATATAAGAGAATACTATGGCTGGCAAAGCTACAGCAACTGTCACCTGAGGTAATTCTGCCTCTGGAAAACACACAGAAAGTTAAGATCTGTATTAGGAGTACTTTAAGCAGAAATTTCTGAATTATCACAAAAGCCCTGTGACAATCAGGGTGACTTTGCCGCTCCTGTGGGGTGAATTGTGGGGTCGGAAACATGCACAGACCTCCAGACTCCATTTGCCCCCAGGGTCATGCATCGCTTGGCACCCGGACATGAACAACCCGCCTGGTGCAAAATTAAATGTGTGGGCTGGTGTGGGAGGGATACAACCTGTACTGCACCAGCTAGAGGGACAAGGGGCATGCGCAGGAGTGGGGACACACAGCTGAGTAAATGCAGTTCACACAAATGCCATCCAATGGTCAGAATGATCTGGGGTATAACCCAACACACGTTCCTGTTTAGGTCTCTATAGCCATTACCTGGAACTTTGCTAAGCAAAAAAAAAAAAAAATTAGTCAAAATTAATAAAATTTTAAAAATACCAACAAAGCGAACAATTATTTAACAGCAAAAAGAAAAAGTTATTAGCTATTGATTAATTTATTACTAATTACAAGTTGCCCAGAGAGATTGTGTTTAGACTCCCACTCCCTGGAAGTATCCAAGGCCAGGTTGGATGGAGCTCTGAGCAACCTGGGATAGTGGAAGGTGTCCCTGCCCATGGCAGAGGGGTAGAACTGGATGATCTTTAAGTTCCCCTCCAACAAAAACTGCTCTAGGATTCTGTGATACTAAAAAAAAAAATCCTTTATTTTATGATGTTCATACTTATGGAGAACAATGAAGTGTTTGAAAATCCTTCCTGGAGAATGTATAATTTTCTTAGAGCAAATCCAAGCTGTTTATCTGTGCACTTTTGGAGTGTTGGTTTCCCTAATTATGGAAAGCAGCCAATTGCTAACCCTACCTCCTCTGGGATGCTTTTATTCATTAAAATCTTTTTAAATCACTAAAATGGACAGTGCTTATAGATGCAGAAAACATTATAATAAATAATACCCTGCTCTTCTGCACTAACAGCTCCAGTTAAGCAAGAAGGCAAAACAGCCACAAATATTCAGAAATCAGAACCACTGCTCTTGCTGATCACAGCAATTCACTTGGTAAAGCAAACACAGTAATTCCATGTGCAGCAGAAAAAAAAAAAAAAAAAAAAGACACATCCATGTAAAATCCTACATTTAGTTTTAATGTTTTAAATTACTGTTCCTTGGGGTCTTCCCAAGTGCTGATGCCAAGTGAGAAGGGTCACTGTTTGAAGAAGTAAATTACCTTAGCTCAGCAGAAATCAAATGGAATTCCACACTAGCCATTATTTACTGCTTTTTAGGGCACACTGGGTATAAAAATGCTCTTCAAGAGCAAAAAAATACTCTTATCATTCACTGGGACCAAGGTTGTATCTGTGGTTTCACAACAACTCAGCAGGACACAAACCATCACACCGAGGTTCCAGTTCTTTGCAGAGGAGGTGCAGTGGGTGAGTTGGTGCAATAAGTGAGAGCTAATTAGGACTGAGCTAACGCTGCATTTTCACATTCAATTCCCACTAATTCCCAGTTTATTCTCACTACTGGAGTGAACACCAAGAGCAGGTGTCTGATGTGTTCCGGAGTGCTGCCGTGATTTTTCTGCCTCTTTTATTTGGCAAACCGTGACAGCCTGCCTCTGTGGCTGGAGGGCCTCACCTTGAACATCAAGTGTAGCCATCACTTTAGTGCCTCCAGCTTCACAAGAATAGATGCCAGTGTCTTCTGGGACCGTAGGGTTAATTTTTAGCATGCTCACATTCCAGTCCTGATCGATAATCACTCGCTGCCCATCTGCATGTATTTCCTGATCGTTTTTCTTCCAGATGGCGTGCACTGGCCTAGAATATTGGCATATGAACTCTGCCGGGCCATCTTCATCAACAGTTATGTCCTGCATGGGACTGACCACTTCAATGGTGGGATCTGTTAACCAACACGTCAGGAAGGACATGCATTAGTGGATCCCCGTGGAAATGGCAACTTGGAGAGTTTTTTGACAAGCACAGAGCCCGTGAGGAGCAAGCAGAGCGTCAGTGCAAGCTGGGAATTAGCAGTTTAGTCTGTGCTTGTGTCAGCATCGAGCAGGGTTGAAGCCAAACTGGTGTGTTAGACCATCACACTGGAAAAGGGGCCACCAGCAGTTAAGGTTCGTGCTTTAAAACTCCTGAATGAGGACTTCTGAGCAGAACATCTGTGGGGGTTCCCTCTGGGCTCAGTTTTTTTTCCCAGCATCACTGAGATCTTCCAGATGGGGAAGCACTGGGGGGTGAAACAGTTCTGCTTCCCAGATGTGGAGGACAAGGGTAAGACAGAGGAGAGCAGCGGGTGGGCTGCTGGGAGCGGTTCTCTGTAACTCTCCCCCTCACAGAGAAACAGCAAAACATCCCAAACTCTACTGGAGGCTCCTTGTGTGAGCAAACTGCAACCACTCATGGGAAAGAAACACAGTCCTGGAATGCAAACACCCACTCCTGGGCTGTCAGGAGTCACTGGCAGCATGAGGAGCAAAGATCCAGGACAACTGTGACAAAAAAGGGCACTCCACAGGGGCAAATATGTATTGTTTTGATTAGCCACTGGTTCCTGTGCAGCAGACACAAAGCTGGGGGAAAAACAATATGATTGCCTTTACAGCAGCTCATCTAGAGATGCATCATGAACCATCGACACCTCAGACTGAGAGCCCATCAAATGCTGCTGGACATTCAGCTCCCCTCAAGATCCATGAGGTTGCAAAAGGACAGTCAGAGAAAGTTGATAAACCATCAAGAACTGGGTTTGATAGTCCTTGTGGGTCCCTTCCAACTCAGGGCATTCTTTGATATGCCCTTATCTTTCCAAGAGCTGTTCTGATCACAACCCAGCAAGAATAAACTACACAGTACCCCAGCCCGGCAATGCTCCTCCTGAAACCAATGCATCAGGCTGAGGAATTGGGATGCTACAAGCAGACCTCGGGAAGCAAAAGACAGTTCTGCAAACACCTTCTGGGAACTTTGTTGCGAGGCTCGATCCTGCTCCCTGGCGTTCCCTCCGCCCCTCCCTGTGTCTGCAGGTGTGTTTTTGGAGAGGAGGCCTCGATGGAAGACCAGGGAGAGGTTTTGGTGACGCCAGGAGTGAAGAAGCCAGAAGGGATCCGTGCAGCCGGGGAGCACAACACCATCTCCTTTCATAAGAGGTAGAAACGTGTCTCTCACAGCAAATATCGCCTGTGGCACTGCAGAAGGGAAGTGTCCTGGTTCCACTGCCCCTTCCCTCTTTGCCACTGCTGGGAAAGGACCTTGGTGCCCCTGTTCACCTGTGCAGAACGGCAGAAAGCTCCCTGGGACTTGGGAGCCAGTGTGGGCGCCAGGACCTGTAATTGTCCCCCGCCCAAAGGGGTCAGAAGAAGGCAGCAGCTCCTTCAGCCTTTCCCATTCTCCCCCCTCCCATACATGAAGATGATGTCACACTGGGCCACTGAACGAGTGCAGATGTAGGGCAATGATATGGTGGAGGCCCAAGAAGAAGAGCTGAGACCTCACTTATTATGGAATATATCCAGTTACCAGCATGCCTTAAAGCAGGAGAATGAGGCACCTGGGACAGAGAGAAAGTCACTTTGTTCCTTGATGAAGGACAAGCAATGGATAGCCAGGTAGACTGAAATACAGTCCAAAGACAGATCTACATTTAAATTTATGGACAAAAAGTGCCTGAAATTGTCTGTTAATACAAGGACAGTGGGAATTTTACTGGTGTTTCATTTCTAATTGAATCAAGTGTTACTGAGCACAGTGTAACTGGGGTGTTTTTAAGTATCTTTCTCATCCTAAACCAATTATAATCATACACTGCTGTGACTCAGGCTCACAATAAAGAGATCTTTCCTTCATAGAAGCACAAAATATCCCCATTCCTATGCGTACTAACATCTGTAGATGATCTCCAAAGGTCCCTTCCAACATCAATGATACTGTGATTCCATGAAACGGAAACTTCTCGGGAGCCTTTTATTTGGCTGAGCAGAACACCTAATGATGCATTTATTTTTAATTCATGTTTTGGACCCACTGGGATTTGTTCCCTAGAGAGCTCAGAACCAGGTTCTGTCTCTGAAAACGTGACATTCCAAATTGTTGCAGACAGACACAGGATTTGTGGGGTGTGCACACTCTGTTGTTGCTGCACCATTCCGAGATCAGGAAGAAGTGATTTGGCATTTTATCTTTGCAGATATTCAGATTTTTCTGAATGCAAAGGGACTCTCTATACAGAAGAGACATCAACCACTGACTACAAGTCCATATTGTGGATCGCTCCTGTTGGGGCAGATTTAAATAAGGATCTTTTTGAACCCTTTATATCTCTGTACATACAAATCCCTTCTCCAAGCAAGGAACAAGCATTCATTTTGTCTGAAAAACAGAAGCTTTTCCCCATGGCTGTAAAAGGACTGACTGGAAGAGAACTTGCTTTCTCAAGTCTGGAGCTCAGTGTTATTTGCAGCTTGTGGCTACCCTTACCAAATGAGAAAAATTTTTATTTAACAGACCAGAAAGCTCTGCTAGGGCAGTGAGGACCATTCAACAAATGAGGCTCATTTTGTCTCTGTGTTCCTGCAACGTTATATATCCTTTGCTTTCCAGGAACAGCCCAAAGTCCTGTCCTGGGAACATGCTGAGCTGGGCAGCAGTAGCCTGACTGTGGCAATTTTGTGAATTACCAGCTCCGTAAGACTTTGGGTTATGATTCGAAAAAGTTGAAGTGGGGATAAAAAGCCAGGTGCTACTACAGCTGTTTATGTTCATCTCTTCTTTGACGTCAGGGGAAAGCAGCAGCCCTGAGCCTGCAACCCTTCCTCACCTGAACCACTGCAAAAATCCATGTGGTTGTGCCTGTAAGACTTCTGGGGTGAGCACTGGTGACTTGCAGAAGTGGAGGGTTGCAGGGCAGAGAAGAGCTGTGGAGGGATTTAGTAAGGGTAGCCTGGAAGGCGGAAGCACCAGCACATGGAGCAGGTCCAGAGGTGGCCAAGTGTTTCTTTCTGACGGGGAAGTACCTTTGACTAATAATTTAGCTGAAGATATAAGGGACCCAGCTCTGAAGGTGACAGTGCCTGAGTCGTGGCAGGCCACGTCATTTAGGGTCAGAGTGTGGATCCTCCCGTCCTGCTCAGAGATTTCAGTCACCAGGTTGTTGTGAAGGGGAGTCCCATCGAGCCACCACTGCACGTTCCTCACGCCCGGGTGCGAGAGCTCGCAGGTGAACGTGGCTGACTCGCCCACAAAGACGTCTGTGTTCCTTAAACCAGAAACTACCACTGCTGCTTCTTCTGCACGACAGAGCAAGAGAAGGTGCCAAAGGAAAAAACAAGAGCATAAACACACACACACACACACGAGGCTCCCTGCAGAACTAACCCAAGTGGAAGTCATCCTGGAGAGTTAAACTCGTAGTGCTGTTCCGGGGGAGGGGGGGAAAGGGGCCAAAATTTTTTTGAAGGGAGTTAGAAATCACCTTCCTTCCTCCACCTGCTTGTAGGAGAAGCAGGTGTCTCTGCAAACACCATTTCACTGGGAGGAAACTCCATTCCATGGCCAGGTCATGCCTGTGCATTGCAGCCACCTGCAGTGGCATTGTATGAGGAGGGAGGCAGAGATGAAGCTTAAGATTTAAATGTTCACTCGAGTGCTTTAAAGAGGAGTAAGAACAACAAGAAGATAGAGGCTGAAATCAGTTATAACAAGAATGTCAGTATTTTTTACGACCACTGCTCCAAGCAAGCAGTTTTTCAGCAGTACCACCATCTGTTACGGTGCACGGTACTTTGAACTAGTTTAACTTACAAACATTGGTCCAACCCCAGCCTGAAGGTGAGTGTTTATATCGTCACTGGAATCAGCTCTCTGCACCTGAGACTGTTTTGTCCAGTTACTCCCAAAGATTTTGGAGTGAGGAACCCAGGCAGCCAAATGGGAGCACTTCCACCACGTTTTTCCCCTTACCTTGCACGTACACAGAACCTGTGGTGATCTCGTATCCAGTGCTGCAGGTGTAATCCCCACAGTCATCAGGCTCTACGCCATGGATGATCAGCTCAGCTACGCTGCCCTTCAGCTTCACCTCGTACTTGTCACTGGGCTCAATGACCACCCCTCCTTTCCTCCACTCAACGGGGGCGTCCGGCCTGGAGATCTCACAGTGCAAAACAGCCGTTCCCCCTTCTTCAGCCTCTACGTTCCTCAGCTCTTTGTTAAACAGCACTGGCAGTACTGCGGTGGAGAAGCAACTGCATCAGTGACAGCTCTCGGAGGTGAGGAACTCGCCTGTAACTTCTCCAGCTTGGCTGGTTGCCCTCATTCTGAGCCGCACCCTGAGCTGTGCCCCAGCCAAGCGCTCAGGGGGTCAGCTGCTGATGCTGGCAGGGTGTCCACTGGTGCTCCATAAAGGGTTTTTAGAGGTCACAGAGGCTCTAAAGGTCTCCACATGGGCACAGCCACCATTTTTCAGTGTAAGCAAATAGAGGTACAACACCACTAATCACTGAACGGGAATCATTCAGGTTAGAAAAGACCTTTGAGATCTTTGAGTCCAGCCATTAGCCCAGCACTGTCAAGGCCACACCTAATCTATGGTCCCACATGTCTTTTAAATATCTCCAGGCTCTACCTCTTCCCTGGGCAGCCTATTCCAATGCCTGACCACCCTTCCAGTGAATATTGTTTTCCTTAGATCCAATCTAAACCCCCCCTGCTGCAACTTAGGGCTACTTCCTCTCATGTTATTGCTTTTGACCTGGGAGAAGAGACCAACCTCTACCCCATAACAAAATCCTTTCATGTAGTTATAGAGAGTGATAACATCTTCCCTGAGCTTGCTTTTCTCCATGATAAAAAAAACCCCAGTTCCTTCAGCTGGGATATAAGACTTTGGACATTTAGTCACCGAAACCTCACAGTGAGCAGGAGTTGGTTATGGTGACCAAGCCCAAGATCTAAAAATACAGTCTTGCTGTTCAAGTCTAAAGACATAGAATTATTATTATAAAATCCAAAAATAAAGCCACTAGAAAAAGGCAAAGAGCCACAATTGTTGGGCTGCTCCGGCACTAATTGGTGCAATGGCTCCATTTAAAGTGAGTTTATTCTAGACATGGTCAAATATCCTCATTTTCTTGTCAGGTAGTAGGTAAATTTTCTAACTGCTCTTGTACATACCCTTCCCTAGCAGCAGCTGCAGTTTTGCTCCCAGCTGTCACAGGAAGATCAAAACTGCAACTGCAGAGTTAGAACTGGGGTTAAAAGGCACCGAATTCTTCTCTGAAGGACGGATTGTGAACCAAACCCTTTCCTGCAGTTGTAGCTCAGAGATACAGAGTGTTAATGGCAATTCAGTGACAAAACTTCTGTGTAGATTGGGCACTTGGGGACATGGTTTAGAGGTGGACTCGGCAGTGCTGGGTTAATGGTTGGGTTAACTCAACATGGGTCTTTTCCAACCTAAATCACAGAATGGCTTGGGTAGGAAGAGACCTTAAAGGTCATCTCATTCCAACCCCGTGGGCAGGAAACCATCTACTAGACCAGGTTGCTCAGAGCCCCCGGTCCAGCCAGCCCCAGACGATTCCAGGATCGCCCTCTGTGCAGAACAGCCACAGCCAAAAACCCTCCTCCTACCTTTGACTTGCAGCGACGCCGTGGTCTGCTGATCCCCCGAGTCACACGTGTAGTCCCCGGCGTCCTGAGCCTCAGCCTCGTAGATGAGGAGCTCCACACGCGTCCCCTCCTGCCGGATCTCGTACTTGTCGCTCGCCTGCAGAATGGTGTCCCCTTTCCTCCACTCCACCCGCGCGCCGGGCTTTGTCAGCTCGCAGAACAGCACGGCCGTGCGACCTTCCTCCACCTCCTCGTTCTTCAGCCACTGCTTGAACAGCACGGGGAGGCCTTGGAAGGCAGAGGAAAAGGTGCAAAGAGAGGAAAAAAAATATAAATGGGTGAAGCGAAAGTAGAAAATGGAAGAATTGTTTTATTTTTAAAAGGTACTGATAGAGCCGTTCGTGAAGTTCATTCACGTGCAATTCCGGCTGGATTTACTGAAGGAGAGCTGCCAGGAACAGGGATGACTAGGCCTGGGCTAGACAGAGGAGGAGGAGGAAGGGGAGTTAATCAGCAGGGAAAATTTGAATTTTAGATGAGCTACATTTCTGTCCCCACATCCCAAACTTCTTTTCACAAAGAATTCCCAGCTAATCTGAGTAATTATTTCTGAAGGCCAGATGGCTTTTCATCCTTGAAATAAAAATCACAGAACAGGATAAAATCGCTCAAGGAATTCACACCTGCAGATCTGAGGCATCAGATCATGCAGCCAGGGATCAATTACAGAATAATTAAGGCTGAAGGGACCTCTGGAGGTCCTCCATGGATGGAGATTCCTCCACCCCTCTGGGCCTCTGTTCCAATGTCTGACCACCCCTTCACTGTGAAAGGTTGGGTTTTCTCTAAACTGAATTTCTCCTGCTGCAGCTTTCAATTGTTGCCTGACATCTGCTTACTGAGCATTCCAAGAAAATTCTCTCTTCCCTCTGTAGGCCTCCATTAAGAAGCTGTAGACAGCAAAGAGGTCTCCCTTCAACCTTCTCTTCCCCACTCTTAACAAATGCAGCTGCCCTTACCTCTCCTTCTACTTAGAATCCTAGAATGGTTTAAATTGGAAGGGACCTTAAAGACCAACCCATTCCAACCCCCTTCCACTATCCCAGGTTGCTCCAAGCCCCGCCCAACGTGGCTTTGAACATTTTTAGGGATGGGGCAGCCACAGCTTCTCTGGGCAACCTGTGCCAGCTTTTCACCACCTTCATTGGGAAAAAAAACATCTCTCTTATATCTAGTCTGCATTTCCCTTCTTTTAGTTTAAAACCACCACCTCTCCTCTTATCACAACAGGCCCTGCTAAAAAGTTTGTCCCCCATACTTCATGCTCTCCAGCCCCCTGACAATCTTGGTGGCCTGTGCTGCACTTACTCCGCTAATCGTTGTCTCTCTTGCACTAGAGAGTCCCAAAAATTGATGTGTCCTCCTTTCACCACTGCTGAACAGAGAGGACAGCGTACCTTTAACCTCCAGCCTGGCCACGGTCCTCCCATCAGCCGTTTGGCAGCTGTACTCGCCCGTGTCCGCACGGTTCAGGTCGCGGATGACCAGCGTGTGCACCTTCCCCTCCTGCTGGATGCTGCACTTCTGGCCGGAGTGGATCACGGACGTGCCTTTCTTCCACTCCACAGGGACGTCAGGCTTGGACACCTCACAGGACAGGTGAGCTGTGCCCCCCTCCTGCAGCTCCAGGTTGTGCAGCGCCTTCACGAAGGTGACCGGAGCCGCTGTGGGGAAGAGGGAACTGACAGTTCTGCAGCAGCCTGATCCACGTCACCCCCAGACCACAGCTATGGTTATGTTTTGAACCAGATCAGAGAGAAACCTGCAATACCGTCACGAGTCATCTTCCAAAATACTTCTATCTGACTTAATAGAACATTTTTTTTTTTAATTTTCAGACTTTTTTTTTTTAGTAAATATGTTTTTAAAACATCATGAGTGGGAGATTAATTCAGAGCATATTATTGACATCCTTTAGCATTGATTCTGACATATGATTGGCTGCTTAGCTGGATGGTCTCCAAAGGATGTTCAGATTAATCTTCGTCCATGGACAGTAAAAATTACTGAAACTACCAAGTCAGATGTCCATATCTAACTCCCAAATGCCTAAATTAGGTTAGCAGAATATCCCAACATTTCCAAGGACCCCTAATACCAAACACACTTCTTCAGAAGCCAAAGCAATGTTGCCAGTGTGTGCCATCACCTCCCCACTCCCTCTCCCTGGGGAGTTGCTCACCTCGGACCTTCAGCTGCGCTGCCGACGTGTGCTCCCCGACTTTGAAGCTGATGGACCCGCAGTCCTCCAGGGTCACCTTCCTCAGGATCAGACTGTGACGTGTCCCCTGGACTCTGATCTCGTTCATCTCGTTGGATTGCAGGGGCACATCCCCCAGGAACCACTGGGCATCCTGAGTTGTTTCCCGGGACAGCCGGCACTCAAACACCGCGTCCTCTCCTTCGTACGAGGTGACGTCCTTCAGCATCTCCACTATAGTTGCTGCTGGCTCTTTATGGAAAGGTCAGCAGAGTTTGGTACCTACTTTCAAGGGATTCTTCCTGGCTTAAACATTTCTTTCTGCTCTTCCCTGACAGTAGTGTGCTATTGTTATTTGAAGCCCTAAATACTAAATCTGGTGGTGTTCAGCCTGGAGAAGAGAAGGCTTTGGGGAGACCTCTTTGCCTTCCAAGACCTTCAGGAGGTTCATAAAAAGGAGGGAGAGGGACTTCTTATACGGGCAGATAGTGACAGGACAAGGGGCAGTGGTTTTAAACCAAGAGAGGACAGGTTTAGATCAAATGTTAAAAAGAAAATCTTCCCTGTGAGGGTGGTGAGGCCCTGGCACAGGTTGCCCAGAGAAGCTGTGGCTGCCCCATCCCTGGAAGTGTTCAAGGAAAGGCTGGATGGGGCCCTGAGCAACCTGCTCTAGTGGGTGGCATCCCTGCCTGTGGCAGTGGTGTTGGAATTACATGATCTTCAAGGTTCCTTCCAACCCAAACCATTCTGTGGCTCTATGATTCTAAATTCATGGAAATGTAGGTACACAGGCATGTAGTAACCTCTTACAACCTTACAGATCCATGATTTATGTATGTCCGCATATAAATTATGCACATATGACTAAGAAGCATGCATCTTATACTGTATTATGTATATAATAAATATATAAGGACCCTGAGATTAGCTCAGCTGGTCAGAGCACAGTGCTAATAACATCATTTGATGTTATTATCTGCTTATTACATAAGCATTTGATCCCTCTATCAGCCATTCACTTAAGAGTTGGACTCGATTATCCTTGTGGGTCCCTTCCAAATCAGAATATTCTGTGATTCCGTGATAACAAATGCATAAAATATGTATTTATAATTCCATCTGTATATTGGGAAAACACTGTCAACAAATTTCAGCGGGTGACATTATTACAATCAGTGACTAAAGACCCATTTCTAACTCCCTAGAGACGACTGATCCAGTCCTTATCCCCCTGAAATCACTCATCTCTGACACCCCCATGATTCAGTTTGGGCTCGGGACAACGTTTAGCTGCCAGATGATTTAACAGCATGCCCCTGCTGCGACAGCACGCTCTGCTCAGCCCTTCCACACCCAGAGCCCCACCTTTCAGGTGCAGCACGGCCGTGGTTTGCTGGTCCCCCGTGTCACAGCTGTATTCCCCAGCGTCGGCCCCGCTCAGCTTGTGGATGGTCAGCTCGGCCACGGACCCGGCCTGACGCATCTGGAATTTGTCACTTGGCCTCAGCACAGCCCCGCCCTTCTTCCACTGCACTGTGCTGTTGGGCCTCGACACCTCACAGCTCAGAGTGACGGTGCCACCTTCTTCAGCCTGTTGGTTCTGCAGTGGCCGTGTGAAGGTTACAGGCAAAGCTACACCAGGAGAGATCAGAGGGGGAAAAATATTATGTTCCAAAGACTGAATCTGGTGTTAAATGAAACTCTGGTGCCATTCCAAATTTGGTTCAAATTCAATTCCCAAATCACTTTAAGACTAAAACAAGGAATGGCAGAAAGTGCTGGGTTTCCAGGAGCTCTAAGCACTCTGCACTCCTGGAGAGTCACTGGACACTGCACACTCCAAGAACCTCTAGGATTATGCTCCTTCTTACACTGGAATGGTCATGGATACAGAGTCCCCAGAATCTGAGCGCATTTATCTCCAAATGGGTACCAAAGCCACAACTCAAAAGCCTACTCCTGGTCTAACTTCTTGGGTATTTGGGAGAATCATCTTTGTGTAATGCCCCTTGTTTGAAAAGAGCAGAGAAATGAAGCCTGGAAGTCTCTGCGCTGATGGTGTCACTGATGGGTCACGACGGAGTTTTGATGGGTTGATTGATGATGTGCCACATGTTTAGCTCCTTGAGTACAGTCCCCTGGAACTACCTCAGTGGCTCCACATTTATGGGTTGGTATTTACAAGGGGAGGAGGTTGGGCTGCAGGAATCAGAGGGAGTTCACAGGAACTGGACATGAGACGTACAAAAGGAGAGAGATCTGAAAGTCCTCGTGGCTGGTGTAGGAATGAACGGTGTATTTTGTGGGACAGATGGGGAATGGCTGGATCAAGGCTGGAGGGTGACTGTAGGGCCTTCCTCAGCTTCCTGGGTCTGGAATTTTTTTCAGGGAGTGCTGGAGTGGCTGAAACCACTCACAGAGACACAAACAGGCCACCACCACCAGAGGATCTGCTTAGAGCACTGATACTCTGGTCTCACCAAATCCTGGCATTGGTGTGATAGCAGGCAGGTGAGTGCCCTTAATGGGATAATCCTCAAGGGATATTCCAAAAGACAGTAATTCACAATAATACTCTGGATCCTCCTTGCTTCTGATGACCTTGTATCTCAGAAAAATCACCTTAGCACAGTATTTATATCAGATTAAATTTGGAAAAGCTGATATATTGCCACATTATACCTATTTTCAGACCCTTGGCGCTAGAAGTGCTGCCTGTCAACTGGAGCTGAGAGCCCAAGTTGGAACACTGTCACGCTTGAGCATCATTTTCTGAGGTAGAACTACAGCTCAAGGGATGCTCAGGCATCAAAAATTGTCTTATTCTGATTTTAGCTCCAGCCTTGGTTTTCTGACTGGCCAGAAAGAGGCCCTTGGGTCTCAGATTGTGGAAGTAGTTACTGCACTCTGGGTCCCTCCCTTTTTCTTAGCTCAGGACACCGCAGGACTTAACCTCTGAAAGGAAAAGCTCTCAGCTGCTTTATGCCAGCAAAGGACATCTGAAGTCAAGGAGAGTTGATAGAACCTTCTTGGAAGAGCCAAACTGAGGAAGTGGAGCAAGTTCCCCGTCTTAAAACAACCCACCTTTGACAGTTAAAGTGGCCGTCGTTTGTTCGTTCCCATTATCACAGGTGTATTTGCCGGAGTCTTCTGGCTTTAAGTGAAAAATCTTTAGGGTGTGGACCGTTCCCTCCTGCCTGATTTCATACTTGGAGCTCGGGGAGATCACCTGAGTGCCCTTCTTCCACTTCACCTGAGCGCTGGGCTGGGACACCTGGCAGCGGAGCAGGGCTGTGTCCTCCTCCTGCACTTCCAGGCTCTGCAGTTTCTCCTTAAATACTGGAGGTGGCACTGAAATTACAAACACAGAGAAGGCATTTCCAGGCATCGTTGTGTCTTTTCCCTGTGGTGTTAAAGCCACGGTTGAATGGTTAAGTATTGTAAAAAAAAAAAAAGCTTTGATTTCTACTGAGGGGTTAAAATGAGTTTCAAAGGGGGAAGGATGCTGGGTGGGGAATTCCTACAAAATAACGTTTGGAAAAAGAAAGACACCACAAGAAGAAGAAAAAAATAACTGAGCAACTTGATCTGTTGAAGATGCCCCTGCTCAGTGCAGGAGGGTTTGGCTAGAGGGTCTTTAAAGGTCCCTTCAAAGCCAAACCATTCTGAGTTTCTAAAAGGGAGAGTGGAAGCAGTGAAAATCTCAGGTCTTTCAGTCCAACTACTGAGGCCAACACAGGAATTTCTTTAGGAATCTCTAGGAATCAGCTAGCTGCAGGACCCTGGTGACACATTCACTGTCTATCCATGGTGACTGCAGTCTATGACACCACACCATGTGCGCTCTGAAGCACTAACATGACCCAAAAAGGGGTGAATTATGGGCATGAATTTACTGTCAGCGTAAGCAAAGCATCAGCTGTCCTCACTGACCCCGTCCCACATCACACAGGGCCTTTACCTTTCACCGTGAGCTCTGCCGTCGACGTGTGACGTCCCACTCGGAAAGTGACGGTGCCGTTGTCCTGCTCAGTCACCTTCCTCAGGGTCAGGGTGTGAACCTTGCCTTTCTCCACCGAGATCTCGTTCATCTCGTTGTTTTGCAGGGCCACGTCCTGCAGCTTCCATTCCACGTCCCTGGCGTTCTCGTGGGAAACCTGGCACCGAAACGTGACGTCGTCCCCCTCGGACACCGCCGCGTCCCTCAGGCCGCTCACGATGGTCACGTCGGGCTCTGCAAGCGGTCAGAGATGGGGAATGAAAGGGAAAACGAGGAGCAGATCACAGAATCGTTAATAAAATGGGTTCTAGGGGACTTCTGGAGGTCACTTGTTCAGCTGAGCTTCAAGTACCTCCAAGGACGGAGACAGCACAGCCCCCCAAATCACATCCCAGATTCTGCTTTCAGTGTACTTGGTAACAGGGCAAATAACTTTTGGGGTGGTGGTTTTATCACTTGTCCTTTCTCAGAGATACATTACATAGTGATTTTTTAATTAAATGTTTGACACGCTAATTGGGTGAACAAGTCATGAATGCCAGATGCCAAAATCGGGGTTTTGAAATTTGTTACATTTGAGCTTAGATATCTTCATAGAGTAATGTGAAAACCTGATCCTTTTAATCATATTTTTGCAAACAGAATTGCATTTACTCCATGCTGATGCTCCAAATGTCTCGAGGAGCGGGTTGGCTTTGTCCCCTCAGCAGGACTCACTGGATTAATGTGAGCACAGTTTGCTCGAGTCCTGCATTTAGGACAGCTGAACGCCTGCAGATCTGTGCAAAGATCATACAGACAGCCCCCCAGCACACCCCCCAAAGCTGTATGTATCCCAAGTCTGCTGGGGAATTCCAAAGGAATCATAGAATCCTTAAGGTTGGAAAAATATCTCTAAGATTGTCGAGTCCCACCATCAAAAAAAGCAGCGAAATCTTCATGTGAGCAAGCACAGCAGATATTCCTACAGTTGAGGTCACCATCTGCACGACAAATGGTGCAGCTGGGTGCAATGTGCAGAGGATCTACAACATGGAGTAGCCTGTAGAGATGCTGGCAGTGTTTTGTTCCACACTAGTGGTCCAAGCTCTGGGATGGCATTAAGGCCAGATGCAGCTGCCATGTGACTGGAAGCTGGGGATGGACCATCTGTTCGCCCCCCTGCCTAATGATGTCAAGCAAATATCTCAAGCTATGAGTCACAAATCACAGCTGCTTCGTCCTCCCCTGTCCACCACGTCAATCTTTGCTTTCGCTGCATCCAGTGACCACCAGGTTTTTTTTAAGGATGCCCTTCCTACGCTCTGTGTTCCTCACACTAACAGTGCTTATGTGGTGAAACCTTAGGAAGTGAAAACCTCCCTGCCCCAACAAACAGGTCTTGCCTTTCACGGTCAGCGTGGCAGAGCTCGTCTCATCCCCAGCCTTGCAGGAATATTCCCCGGCGTCTCCGGGCTCCAGGCGGTGAACGCGGAGCTCCCGGAGGGTCCCGTCCTGCCACATCTCGTACTTGGAGCTGGAGCGCAGCACAGCTCCGTCTTTCCTCCACTCCACCTCTGCCTTGCTGATGGAGATCTCGCAGCGCAGCCTGGCCGTGCCTCCCACCTCCACCTCCTCGTCCTTCAGCTGCTGCTTCAGCCGGGGTTTGGTGGCTGCAGGGTGAAAGAGGAGGAAATGATACAGGACCTGTTCCCTGGGGGGCACAAAACCCAGCACAAGCGCCTGGGCTCTGGTGCTGCAGGGCAGTTTTGCATTAAGGGGTTATGTGATAATAAAATTACCCTTTTTTTTTTTTCCTACAGAGAGACTTAGGTTGTGTATACCCGGACAAAGAGAGGATCAGAAACTTCCCCCAGATATGTTTCCCTTAAGGGCATCCACATCAAACCTTTTATGCACCTGTTCTGGATACTGAAAACTTCAACACACACAGAAAGATTGTGACTAAGCAAAGCCTGGTACTCCCTGATTAAAACAGGCATAAATTCGTTCACTTTTATAGAAATACTCATGATTTCCAACACCTAAATGACACAAAGCTTTAAACTCCTTTCTGGTTTCTCAGTTATCTTCTCAAGACCCAGGATCACCACCAGTGAGTCGTTCCAGATGATGCACAAATGGACATGTATTCAAGAGGGCATGGATCCGTTTAGACAACAGCTTGTCCCAGGTGGAAACAAGAAGGGAATATCCAGAGTTCCACCCAACCCTTTGAGACGACCTCAAACAGTTTCACAGAGGGTACTGGGATGGTCCTGCCTGAGCAGGGGGGTTGGACCAAATGACCTGCTGTGGGTCCCTCCCAGCTTTAGCCACGCTGTAATTCTGTGATCAATCACAGTCATCATTCCTGGTTTGATTAAACACAGCATTCTCAGGGTCTTCGTGGGAGGATGAAATATAGTTAAGCTTAAAATGCTTTTTTAAATGATGCGTGATTAGTTATTGGCTCAAGTGAGCCAAGAATGAATGCAGAGCATTGCTAGACATAAGTAATAAAATAAAAAATAGATAAAAATAAAAATAAAGAAAAGAAATGCTAGAAATAAAGGTCTATTAGAATATAAAGATCCCCACGATCCAGAGTCTCTTGCTTTTATCATGTCAGAGGAAGTGCACTGCACACTGCGCTTTACAGGCCGAAATAGGAACCCTGTCCCACAAGATCCACTTCTCTGTGCTCTGTTTATGGCTGGGCACCACTTTTCCTCAATCTCTTAACTTTCAGAAGGATTTATATTCACCAGCAAACTAAACAACATCATTCACACATTTCCACAAGTGCCTTTTCCCCCTCTGTTCCAAGGGGACGCAACGCTAACCATGCACTGTGAGCACTGCAGTGCTCTGCTGGTCTCCCGTGTCACACGTGTAATCAGAAGCATCCTCCGGCTCCACGTTGTGAATCACAAGCTCAGCCGTGCGACCACTTAAGGTGATGTCATATTTGGCACAGGGGAAGAGCTCCATGGTTCCTTTCCTCCACTCCACTGCTGCATTGTCCTTCATCAGTTCGCACCGGAATTTCGCCGCAGCTCCTTCTTCTGCCTCCTCGTCTTTGAGCTGCTTTTTGAAAAGAACTGGCAGGGCTAAAGGAGACAAAAAAAAAAAGAAGCTTTTATTGAAGCCTGAGTCAAGTCCTGGTTGGCACAGACTGGCACTTCAGAGAAGATGCTCTGCTTTGCAAGTCAGGTATTCCTGGGCAGGATCCATGTTTTCTAATTCGCCTGGAGTACCAGATCCTGCTACATCAGAAGCATCCATAACATTTACTTCCTTTGTTTCCTTTGTTTCTTGACTCAAATCCTTCCCAGGGTTGAATTCTTTGAGTGAATTTATCCTTCAGTTGGTCTAACAAGGATCACAAGAGCATAGAAATTCAAAACTCCATGAGCAGCCTTGACAGATCAGGAAGGTTGTTGTCTGTCTTCTTACAGGATTTGGAAGAAAATACTTTTTTAAAATATTTAAACAAGTCATGTGAAATATCCAGATGTCATGTTAAATTGTTGTTCTTTCTTTAATTTCTTGTCAGCCGCAGAGGTGGAAAATATTCCTAATTAGAACCCAAAACTCAAATGCAGCACCGGAAGAACAAAGTACCATCCTCTTCCATTCTCATTAGAACAAAGTAAAATCCCAGTTTATCAGATGAAAAGGAAAATATTTATGGAGAAAAAGAACAATACATTTAAAAATATTCACGCTGAAACTGTTGCCTTTGCATGCTGGATGGGATCTGCTGCTTTAGGAGTCACTCACCCCACGTACCTTTCACGTTTAAAGCTGCCTTGGTTTCCTCATCCCCAGTGTCACAGCTGTATTCTCCTGTATCTTCTAACTTGAGGTTATGTATCAAGAGCTCTACCAGGCATTCCCTCTGCCTCATTTCATATTTCTGGCTGGGCTGCAGCCCCACTCCTCCTTTCCTCCACTCCACAGCAGCTCTGGGTTTCGAGAGCTCACAGCGGAACGTGGCTGTGCTCCCCTCCTCGGACTCCTGATTTTGCAGGGGTTGCTTAAATGTGACAGGCAGTGCTGCAAAATTTGAGAGGGAAACGTCTCAGGAGTGTTTTAGCCCAAGAAGGACACATCATTCTTCAGAAATGATCCCATAATCCTTGGGCTGCAACTCCCAGTCTTGGCAGCATCTTTCTTGAACCACTGTGAGAACCAAGAGCTGAGGACTGACGGTGAAGTTAGGAAGGATCTGGTCTTAGAAAGTGCTTTGTGGCCTGGTTTGTGGTCTGAAGGAGTTCAGACCTTCCCATGGAAGGTCTGCCAACTACGGGTGCTTCAGGCAAAGATCCCTGGGACATGCTCTCTCTCACACAAACCCTTGTTCCTTAAGGGAGGTCTCTGGGTTTGCAGTACTAAGCAAAGAGTATTTTTTCACCCAAATAGAGCTTGCATAAACATAAAGTGATCAAAGTAGTATCCAAAACACATGAATTGACAAATGGGAGAGGAAATTCAGATTTCAGGCAAGGTCTTGCTCTGAATGGTAGGAGAAGGGGTGGAGGAACATTTACACCTGAAGTTCAGTAATAATAGAGCACATTCACCTGTCAGAGAAATCCCTTCTCCCCTAATTGTTGCCTCTCATCATTCTAATAAGACACTACATCCAACTAGGCATCCCTTATGCCATTCCCATACACAGACACACTCCCTGCACTCAGGGGAGGAGACTTCAGCATGTTTTGACATCATGACACTGTTCAAAGGCGGGTTGGACGGGGCTCTGAGCAACCTGGGATGGTGGAAGGTGTTGGAATGAGATATCTTTGAGGTCCCTTCCAACCCAAGCCATTCTATGATTCTAATAAGCTTTGATGCTCACGAGTCACTCAAGATACTGCAAGAACAACCTTTCTAACCTGACCATTTGTCGTGCCAAAGAAGAGCGTTTGTTCCGGCACGGACCAGCAGCAAAACAAGTAGAAAACACCAAGAGAACCTCCTTCCACTCCACATTTTCTTGAGCCAAAGGTCAACACTGTGCCTACCATGTACAGTCACCACAGCTGTTGTCTGCTGGTGTCCAGAGTCACAGGTGTATGTTCCTGAATCCTCCAGTTCCAGGTCAGAAATGGCCAATTCAGCGGTGCAGCCCTGCTGCTTCATCTCGTATTTCAAACCAGGGGAGAGAGGGACATCCCCTTTCCTCCACTCCACTGGAGCCTGGGCTTTGGTCAGCTCACACCTCAGTGTGGCTGTGCCACCTGCCTCTGCCTCGGTGTCCTGGAGCTCTCGTTTAAAAAGTGCTGGTAGGGCTATAAAACAGAAAAAAGGCAACTTTCTGCAGCTGGGGCTTGGGAAAGAGAGGGGAGAAAGAAAATGAAAGCACCAAAAGAGCCTGTTTTGCTCATGTCTCCAAACCTCCATATTCTGCACTCAAAGCACGAGGCTATTTCCCCAGACATGAAGTAGGAATATCTACAGAGCAAAAAGAAATGGGTTTGAAGAAGTTACATTTTGCCATGAAGTGTGTGGAAGCTTAATGTAATCTGTGACCTAAAGATGGCACAGTGGTTTTCATACTCCAAAAGTAGCCAACACGTTGCCCTGACCACTGAAGGTGGTCAGAAGGTCAGCAGAGAGTTGTAAGAGCTCAGACTCTTTCTTAAGGCAGGGAATTTTAGGAGTTCATATTCCCTCTTAAAGCAGGGAATTTGGAGAGTTCAAATTCCCTCTTTGGGCAGGCCACTTGCAGGAGAGATTATGATTATCCTGACTGTAACATACTGAAAAATGCACTGTTTTGCACCCCAGTTCCCATATTCTACCTGTCCCTGAGGCTGTATAAACCAGGCTATCCTGCACGCCTCACAATCTGTAATCAAATTCAGCAACCCTAAACCACAGCTCTTTTATTTTTTTGTCTTCAGAAAACCTTGGAACTTTTTTCCTTTGTTTTTACCATTGACTGTCAGAGTGGCAGTTGTCTGCTGATCTCCACACACACAGGTGTAATCTCCAGCATCCTCCACGTCCAGCTCGTGGATAATCAGCTTTGCAACAGCACCATCTTGGCTCATCTCATATTTGCTGCTTGCCTCGAGCACCTCCTGCCCTTTCTTCCACTCCACCACAGCAGGCTTGGTCAGCTCACAGCGCAGAGCAGCTGTGCCATTTTCCACAGCCTCGAGGTCCTCCAGGGCTCTCCTGAATTCTGGAGGCAGTGCTGAAGAGTAAAAGGGTTACCACAGAGCGTGTGAGTATTCCTTAAAAAGCAAGAGTCCCGTGGGAGAGGGATGGATGGCGAAATGCTGAGCCCTGATCCAGGTCAGTGGGACACAATGGAAGAGCTCCCCCCAACTTCCCTGAACGCTGAGAAAGCGAGATGAACCAACACAGTTGAGGGGGACAAACACCAGCAGGGAACTCTTGGCCCAGTTCTGACACGAGGAAGAAGCACATGAAGCCCAAAGGAACAGGAAAACCCAAGGAAACACAGAGGGAATGGGAACAGACCGTAACAACAGAGGCTTGGGCAGCTCAAAGGTTTGGAGGACCATCCCAAGGGCTACTTTACCATGCACTGTTAAGGCAGCTGTGGTGCTCTTGTCTCCACACACACAGGTATAATCTCCACTGTCATCCAGGCCCAGGTCATGAACCACCAGCTCCACAACATGGCCTTCCTGCCTCATGCTGTGCTTCTTGCCCGAGGAGAGGACGTGGTGGCCCTTCTTCCACTGGACAGAGGCAGATGCCTTGGTGAGCTCACAGTGAAAAGTGGCTGTCCCACCTTCTACTGCTTCCCTGCTGGTCATTTCTTCTTGGAAAAATGGAGGCAGAGCTGAAGGATGCAGGTAAAGAGTATTACAGACTGAGGATGTGTCCAGGGATGGGTGAGGAACTGACAGGGGGGAAGTTGTGAAGGTTATGGAAGGCTGAGCATCAGCAACAAAGAGAGGGAAGAGAAGTGAAAGTATCCTAGTGGGAATACATCCTAAGCAGATTTTCACCCGCTTTCTACCAGTTTCCATCAGAGAAAAACCAAGAATATCATCTCTGAGCTCCTAAGTTCCCATGTTTTGGTGTCTCCCACAAACTTCATGCCTTTTCCTGCTTACTGAGCTGCTCTACTGTGTTCTGAGTGTTGGCACAGCTCCTCCCTCATCCTCATTCCTTCTTCCTCAAGCTATCCTTGAAAAGGTTCATCCAGGACTCAGAGGTTCTTCTTGACCCCAAAGAAAACCTCCAGATGCTGAATCCCAGCCCGTGCTCTTGTCCCAGAACATGTTTTTTCCCCACTGAACATAATTCCTGTACCCGTTGCAAGTCGTGCCCTTGAAATAAGGGTGGTGACCTTCACATACGTCCCTCTAACTGAGTGGGATAACGGGACATTCCACCTGTTTGACAGGGTTGGATATCTCAGACCCCAAATTTAGTGTCACACAGCAGTGGGACTCAGTCAAAACATCGAAGCTAGAAACCAGGTTTTGCCAGATTTGGCACATTTCCCACCTCCAGCACTCTGAAGCTGAAACACCAGCTTTGTTTTGCCCAGCAAGTGGTTCTTCCAGCAAAACAAGACCAGAAGGAGATCTGCAGCCTTAGAAAATTAGTCTCCCAATGGAAATCTGTGCACCAGGACAGAGGTCATGGGCACAAAGCCCAGTATAAACAGAGCTCAGTACAGAAGAATTTATAACTAATGCTTCTTTTTTCCTCCCATATTAAAATGATCAGTATTGAGAATGCCAGGAAGGAAGGGCAAAGAATAAACAAAGAGAATAAATGCAGGAAAGGAAAGACCAAAGAACAGTGGGTTTATATGTTAGGAAAGGAATGGCAGAAAGAAGAGATGAAAGGATAGCAGGCGTGTGTTCATGGAAAGGAAAAGACAGGAGGATGGGACAGAGAAATCCAGACTGGGATTTTCCAGTTGGCACAACCTGCAGGTTAGGAGGGCCTGGGAATATTTTCAAATGAAGTTCAGTTAATAAGGTTGGACAAACAGATGTGTAAAATGGATCAGTTAGAGCAGAGGGCAGAGGCTTCCAGTCAGGAAACAGGAGGTCAGGATGGCTTTACCCTGGACTGTCAGGACAGCTGTGGTCTGGTGCTCCCCACACACACAGGTGTAGCCTCCTGCATCCTCCTCAGCTATTTCACGGATCACCAGCTCTGCCTTGGTCCCTTCCTGCCTCATTTTGTATTTCTCACTCGCTCTGAGAATCCTCTGGTCCTTCCACCACTGCACTGGGGCAGCCTTGGTGAGCTCACAGTGCAGAGCGACTTCTCCACCTTCTCCTGCTTCCTTGTCCTGGAGCTCTTCCTTAAAGAGTGGGGGCAGAGCTGAAGGATGCAACAGGGACAGATGCTCATCAGAAAACCAGAAATGAAATCCCAATTTCTTTATCACGCTTGAGATTATTTCCCCTCATGCCCTTTTTTTTCCACCCCCCAGCCTATGACAGACGTGCTCAGCCATAACCCAGTTTAGAAACTCCAAAAACATCCTCCTGCAAGTGTGATGTGATTTCAGTCACCCTCAGGGACAGCTCCCTGCGTGTCTCTTGTTATTCACAGTGAAAGAAGGAGAAAGAAAGACCCAGATGTCAGATCAACAGCACTCACAAATCACACTGATGGATACAGGATTATTTTACCCACACAAGTAGCATTTCTTGGAGGTTGATATTTTTATTTCCTGTTGGTTTTTTTTTTTTTTTAATTAAAATATTATAGCTCTCTCTACCTGAAAACAGTCAGATTTTAAAATAAAACTAGTCCTAGTTTTAAGTTGAAGTTTGAAGGACCATTACAGGTAATAAGAATTTGAGATTCCTGCTATTTCCCATTTTGGAATCATGACCCAAAGGCAGAACAACCCACAGGAAACAACCTTCAGGAAAACTAATTACTGACATTTACCCACACAAGTGCCTTGTGTAAAGGGGTACAGAATACAAACAGTACACCCCAAATGCCTCAGGAAAAGTCCTTCTCTCAGGAAAACCCAGATCCCTGTTTTTGGAAAAATCTGGAGGGGACAGATCTGGATCTCTCACCGATTTCCTCAAAGCCAAGGACTGTTATTTCATTAAAATGGATATTCATCAATGAGAGGAGAGCAGAAATGAGGTAATGGGGTTATTAACAAAAGGATTTATTTATGGGTAGGTTTATTTAACCCTCCTTTCTCCTCTGTTCAGTTCTGGAAAAGGCCTGACAGACCATACCTGTGTGTTTTGGAGAAAAGTGGGGTTGACTGCAGTGAACCACAGGAGTTGGAGCTGGAAAATGTAAATATCCAAGAAGAGGGGATTTGGGCAGAAAGAAACATCTTGTTTTCTCGTTTTAAGGGATGATATAATAATGACCCCAAAATTTGCCATGAGCGACTCTCTCTCAGCAAGAAACCAGTTATAAATAGAATGAAGAAAAAGGGATAAAACCAAAGACAAGCTACTGACCCAGGGAAGAAACAACTGAACTTCACAATGATGTCTATCTCTAGAGTTATTTATCAATTTTAATAAAGTCTTTTTACCATGAACTGCCAAGGTTGCTGTTGTCTTCTGGTCACCACAAACACAGGTGTAATCTCCAGCATCTTTTACTTCTAGGTCGTGAATGACCAGCTCTGCAGTGGTGCCAGACTGTCTCATTTGATATTTGTCACTTGCTTTGAGCACTTTGGGCCCTATTTTCCACTTCACTGGGGCTTCTTTGGTTAATTCACAACTCAGAGTGACTGATGCTCCTTCATGGACTTCCTCACTCCTCAGTTCTTCCTTGAAAAGCACTGGCAGGGCTGGGAATGGAAAGTTAAAAGGGTATTTAAACTAAGCCACGAGCATGATGAAGTTCAAGTCTGGCCAAATCAGGGGGTTTGGACTTTGAGGTTGAGGTTATTGCCACGATGATCTGGAAAACTCAATCCAGCAGCGAGAGAAAGACAAAAGAAGTGCTGAGCTGACAGGTCAAGGTACAACAGGCTGGATGGATTCGAGGTGGAATTTCAAGAATTTATCACAGGGACAGGACAAATCAGCTGGTCTAACAGGAGCTTTTTCTAGGTGTTATTCCCTTAAACCTACAAGTTTGCTTGGAAGAAACAGCCAAATCCTGAGCTTCCTTTTCGGGAATACCAGACCAAAATTCAATGTCAGGACAAGAAGCTCTCCTTTCCCAGACACAAATCAATCCCTAGGGAAATGCTGATGGGTGGACACTTCACACAGCCAACAGGAGGTTTGAGAGACACAAAAAGTGGGCAGTCATCTGCATTTACCATTCACTGTCAGGGACGCCGTGGTGTGCTGGTCTCCACACACGCAGGTGTAATCTCCTGCATCCTGCAGCTCCAGGTCATGGATTTCCAGCTCAGCCAGGGCACTCTCCTGCCTCATGATGTGTTTTTCACTTGCCCTGAGTGTTTTGTTCCCTTTCTTCCACTCCACATCAGCAGCCTTGGTCAGCTCACAGCGCAGAGTGGCTGTTTGGCTTTCCGGGGCTTGCAGGTCCTTCAGGCCTTCTTTGAAAAGTGCTGGCAGGGCTGAAGGTCACAAAGTGGACAGGGGACATTAAACAGGACACGTGGCACACAGGTTACAGGAGGGGTGGGGTGGTTCAGAGGCAGGGAACACTTTAGGGTGGAAGGTTTTCATTCTGGGACGTCGGACAAACCAACAGACAGAGGGAGGAAAGCAGCCTGGGTGCAACCAGAGCTTACAGAGAGCTTACAAATATAAAGGAACAATTCAGCCACTACCAATATCAGTGAACTGACAAAGAAATGCACAGTAATACAGGTATTTGGATATGGTTTTTTTACCATGCACTATCAAGGCAGCTGTTGTCTCCTGCTCTCCACACACACACGTGTATTCTCCAGCATCTTTCAGCTCCACATCGTGGATAAGCAGCTTCGTGACAGTGCCCTCCTGCCTCATCTTGTACTTGTCACTGGCTTTGAGCAGAGTGCTGCCCTTTCTCCACTCCACTGGGGCAGCCTTGGTCAGCTCACAGCACAGAGTGGCCCCCTGACCCTCCGTCACCTCCTGGTCCTTCAGGCTCTCCCTGATCCCCGCAGGCAGCACTGAGGATGCAATGGGAAGAGGGTTAAAATGGAGCAGGAAAAACAGCCTCCTGCTGAGGGGAAGGAAAGGTGAGGGCATCAGCAGGGGGGCTGTCCTCAGGCTTGATCTCACATCTGCTTTGGGGATCCTGAAACCACTTTGTGTACGGAATTGGTGGAAGGTTTTACCCCGAAATCACAAAATTAATCCTTCTTTGAATGCAAAGTCAGACTGACATGAACTATTCACAGATACCAGTGAACACGGTGATAAAAGCAATCCAAACCCTGAGCTCGTTAGCAAGGACATCCAGGTGGAAGAGGGCATTACCATGCACTGCCAGGGCCGCCGTGGACTCCTTGTCCCCACACACACAGGTGTAATCACCAGCATCACTCTCAGCCAGGCTGTGGATCACCAGCTCTGCCGTGACGTCCTTCTGCCTCATCCTGTACTTCTCTCCAGGTCTGAGCACTGTGTGTCCCTTTCTCCACTCCACTGGGGCAGGTTTGGTCAGCTCACAGCGCAGAGTCACCACCTGGCCCTCCTGGGCTTCCTCATCCCTCAGTTCCTCTTTAAAGAGAGCAGGGAGGGCTGGGAAACAGAGCAGCAAAATGTGATCGTGGGCAAGCGGTTCTGATGAACCTGATGTTTCTGTCTACCCATGCCTGGTTGCTGATGTGAGGATCATCATCCCACAGAAGGAAGGTGTTAATTTGCACCACAGATAAAAAAGGGATCTTATAATTCTTTAAAGTAAATTTCAAGCAAATTTTCTGATTGGTTTCGAGATGGGTGGAGAATAAACAGCAGGAATGGGAAAACTTCATGCATGGTCAAAACTGTGACTTCCTCAGTATAATTCAGTCTGGAAAATCCATTCGTGAAAAAAAAAAAAAAATAAAGGAAAAATTGATATGGTTTGAATTTAGGCGTTAAGGATACCTATAGACATAACTCAGAGTTAGAACAAGATCAAGAGTAGAGAGATCAATTGAAAGTGCTTGGGTAGCAACAAAAAGGGAAGAGAAGGATGACGTCTCCAGTGTGGAGATCTGCCATAATCTTCACACCAGGAAGTTCAGGTGCACCCTAAGACACCATCCCTTTAGAAACAATGAATAATTCAGAGTGTAGGACTGGATAGTAACCTGCTAATGTATACCCTGGGAGCAGCAGGTTGGGACAACATCTGCTGAGTCTTTGGAATGGGGCAGGAACTCCATTTGGATATAAAATAGAGATGAAGAACAGGAGAGGGGGATCTCCAATTCATTCTCTGACCAGCAAGAAATAACTATTTGAGAACAAGGATGTGGAGGATAATTGTGCAGACATTAATTATGAAGCAGGAAAGCTCACAGATTTCAGGACAGGTAATGATGGAGAAGAAGAATAGAAAACTCTGTGGGTAACAAGGAAGCAAGCTCCAATAATTTGAGAATTGCTACTTATGATTGTGCAGATGCCAACTTAAAGGACAAGACAGTTTAAGAGAGTGGAAAGCTTCTGAAAGAAACAATATTAAGAGCATAATTAGAGACTAACTCCAAGGATTATCAGGAACAGCCTGTCTAAATCACAAACTCTCCAATGTCCCAAAATTCAAGAGGACTGTAAAATACAAGAGGTTTAGATGAGTGCAAAAGAAATACTGCAGGATGTAGAGACAAACCCAGAAAGGTCAAGGGCAGTTTTCCCCATTCCTGATCTCTGCCACCTCCTGGACAAAGGACCAACATGAAAGAGGGGCTAAAAATGGTCTGCAAAATGATGCCGATATCATGGAATCATAGAATTATTTAGTTTGGAAAAGCCCTTTAAGGTCAGTGAGCTCAGCCTTTACCCAGTCAAATCCACCATTAAATCATGTTGGTTTACCTCTCTAGTTGATGGTGGGTGACATGGGAGAGCTGGAATGTTTAATTCCCTTTTCTTTAATATTAAAGGGTTAGGGATAGTGAAGAAAGTAATAGGAATTGTGGCTAGGATAAGAAAAAAAAGAATTAGGGAATATTTAAATAGTCTGACTATTCTTAAAGCACCTCGGGGTGATGGAATTCGCCGTGGAAGGTACAGGATCAGTGAATATCAGACATTGATATTTACACTGGAGAAATCAAAGAGAGTGAACGGATGAAGTTCCACAAGTAAGGAAAAAACAGAAACTAAGAGGTGAAAAAGGCCTCACACACTGAAATGCACACATATGGTTCTTGCAATGTAAAACAAGAGTCCAAACTCTTGTTTAGAGTCAAGAAAGACCCAGGTGAAGTCAGTGGAGTCAACAGAGGTATCTGCTGACCAAGTGTCTGCTAAATAAGGTGAACTGGATGCATCCCTGTCTTCCATGGACTGTGCTGGCTAGATCTCCACTGACAAAAATGGGAATTAAGGAACACTCATCAGTCTTGACCTACAAGATGAATCCCCTTCACTTTCTTGCAAAAAGAGAGAGACGGCAGAGAGAGGATCCAAGGAATTACCCCCAGCTCAGCTTAATTCTTTGAAAAACTTGGATTTGCCAAGAGCTTTTCTCTTCCTGCAGGAGTGGACCAGTGTAATTTTTTCCTGACATAAAGTTTCACAGACAGAAAGACCCAGTATATGCCGTACATTATTAATTTAATCAAGCTCTTACTTTAACTCAGGTACAGGTGGAACTACAGGAGGAATCTGCCACTAATTTGAAAACTGCAGGCAAAGAATATTCGACTGTGATTTACACTCACAATGAAAGAATGAGTCGAGTTCCTCAGTGCTCTGGAATTCAGTACAGTTCAGCAGTTTCTTTGGTGACTTGGACAATGAAATGCAGAGCTGTCAATAATTTTTCAGATGATCCCAAGGTGGGAAAGAAGAGATGGTGAAAACACTTTGTCAAAGTGGATTAAGGTAGATGAATTTGACTAAAGACTGTGAATTATTCTTCCACTATAATGCTGAGTATTCTGCAACACCTGGATACAAATCTACATTATCCTTGGTCAGAGTTATACAAGAAAGTTGCATTGAACCAAGTTTTGCTTGCATTATTAAAATTATTGCTCAAATCCTAATGCAGCTTGAAATCTAATCCTCCTTTTCAAGAAGTATGAATGTTCCTGCTGCTTCCCCTCTCCAGGTTGAAGTTAAAAGTGAGTAAAACAGAATAAAAAAAAAAGCAAGCATGTGGCATCTTCAGCCTTTGGTGTGGTGCAAAGACAAGAGCAGGGAGAAGAAAACAGGGAAAGTATTAGTATAACCAATGGAACTGTAATTCTAGTGAGAATTAGATAAAAACCACAATAAATCAAAGAAGGAAATCTGTTATCGACAGAATTAATGATGGGCAAGACCAGGGAAAGGACTCATTGTGTGTCAGGGCTGAGGCTTCCAGAGGAGAAGGGAGAAAAACCCCACAGAAATCCCCCATCTGGTGTTTCCTTTACCATGCACTGTCAGTGCTGCTGTTGTCCTCTCCTCTCCACACACACAGGTGTATTCCCCAGCATCCTTCACCTCCAGGGCGTGGATCAGCAGCTGTGCCGTGGTGCCTTCCTGCCTCACGGTGTATTTTTCACTCGTTTTGAGCACCTTGTGTTTCTTTTTCCACTCCACGGGGGCGGACCTGGACAGTTCACACTGGAGGGTGGCTGTTCCACCTTCTGTGGCTTCCTCGTTCGTCATCTCCCTCTTGAAGTGCACAGGCAAGGCTGAGGAGTTCAAAACGAGCACAGTGTGTGACCATGGCAGCTTCTGTCAACCACGTGTGACAAGCAAAGCCTTTCCTAATCAAGCAGGATTGATGTGCCCTCTGAGAAACATAAAAGGGTGGCTTTGGAAAGCAGGAAAACACCTTATTCATCAGTATGGGGAGGTTTTCTTAAGGTAAAAGTCCTTGGAATGAAATGGAGAACCACACCAGGCTCAGCTTCTGCAGACCTGCAAGGCTGAGCCCTACATTCCTTGGATACTGCCTGCCAGAATGGAAAACAAAGCCTAACCAGAGTGTCTACACTCTACTGGAATACAAATAATTGCTTTAAAATTCACAAATGAAACTATATCTGAGGCACCAACTTCTCTTTTCCTTGGGACCGTGAGGGACCTTTAAATGTCCCTTCCAACATCAAACTATTCTGTGAATTTTGTGTCTCCTCAGACAGCGGTCAGGCAGAACTTGACCCTCCAATTATTCTGAAACACTGAAAACTTCATTAAAAAATATCTCAGCAACAAATTATCCTCTCAGCTTTAGGATTTTAGGTTAGAATCTTTACAGCCAACATCACAACGATACGATTTCCCACTCCTCAGCACCTACTCCTGAATATGAGCATCAAAGAAATGAGTTAACATCAAGATGAATATCTCAATTTTTTGCCTTGAACACCTGACCTGTGCCTGGTACTGACCAATCCATTCAGGCACTCATGTCCAATCACATATTTCTAAAATCTTCAGAAAGGAGGCAGCAGTTTCAAAGCTGATACCACTAAGCTCTTAGGGAAGAAAACAAACAAACAAACAAACAAACACCAAAAAAACCCCCTGTTTGAAAACAACCCTTTGAATTGTTACATATTTTCCTTTCCCTTTACCATTCACTCTCAGCGCGGCCGTGGTGGTCTGATCTCCACAGCAGCATGTGTAATCTCCAGCATCTGTCAGATCCAGATCACGGATCACCAGCTCGGCAACTGTGCCCTCACATCTCACGGTGAACTTGTCGCTTGTCCCCAGGGCTGTGTCTCCTTTCCTCCAGCCCACGGCAGCCCCGGGCTTGTTCAGCTTGCAGCAGAAAGTGGCCGTGCCTTTCTCTGTGCCTTCCACGTTCCTCAGCTCCTTTTGGAAACGTGGAGGGAGGGCTGAAGGTCACAGGTGAAGAGAGAGCACTTTAGAATTGGGGACAAACCGCGTCTTGACTGCTCCACTGATTAAAGCATTTTATTCTATGAAGGTTTAGAATATACAGCACCTGAGAGGCAAAGAGTGATTTCAGGGGGCAGCCCTGCCTCGTGCTTTGCAGTGGAGCGCATTGAGCACGTCACACTGATTAATAATAACTCCAAGAACCATAAAAGACTGACTTTGGACAGCTGGAGAACACCTTATTCATAAATCAGAGGGTTTTTTTTTTATGGTATGGTCCAGGGCATGAAATGGAGCACCACCCCAGTCTCAGCTTCTCAGCTCTCACTGATTTGGAAATCAGTGTTTTAAAGGCAGTTTAAGATATAACAACACAAACCTGCTCCCAAGATCTCAAGGAGCTATGCACAGCTCTTTCTTAAAACCAGCTTAATAATTAAAATGAACACTATGCCATTTAAAATTACGGGCTGCAATATTTTCGTAACTTTTCAATCCTATTCCAGAAAAAAAAAAAAAACAAACCACAAGTGAAATCTCAGTGATATGCCCTAAAGAAATTAATTAATTAGTGGAAATACTCCAAGTGCTATTTATGACTTGATCAAGCTCTTCACTGTCTGCTTCCAGATTCCATCAACAGGAAAGAACAGGAGCTGAAAAGATGTTTTTCGTGAGTCCTAAGGGAGGGACTTTCAGTGGAAGATATTCCCAGTGGATGGTACAGCTGTCATAACAATTTAAAGTAATAGGTGGGATCGAGACCAGATTGTGATCCCCCACGAGACCACAGACGACAACGCAGAAAAGTCCTGTAAAACCCAGATATTTTACCATGCACTGTCAGGGAAGCCGTGCTTGTCTTGTCTCCACACACACACGTGTAATCTCCTGCATCCTGTTCCTCCAGGCCGTGGATTGTCAGCTCAGCAACGGTGTCCTTCAGTCTCATTTTGTACTTCTCACTAGGCTGGAGCAGCTCCTGCCCTTTCCTCCACTCCACGGGGGCGGGTTTGGTCAGCTCGCACTGCAGAACAGCCGCCCTGCTTTCCGTGGCTTCCACGGGCACCAGATCCTTTTTGAACAGGGCAGGCAGAGCTATGGGGTGTGATATAAACAGAGAGGGCATCAAAAGCATTAACCACACCTTGAGGAACTCACAAGTGGGTCTTGAGGCCGGTCCTTCGCCGCTACATGGGAAAACAAAGCACACAGTCTGGAAACCTGCATCTACTAGAAAACCACTGCAGGATCCCACAGGGATGTTACTGCCATGACCTGCTTCTAACATTGATTTATCAGCATGCTCGTCGCTTCCCAGATGATTCCAGTAGTCCTCTCACCTATTTCAGTCTGAAATCATCCATCCTGGACTTTAAAGACCATACTTGGGAATGAAAGTACTCAACCCAGCTGACAGCACTGCCACCTGGAGATCCCTGCCTTCCCTTGCACCATAATTTATCCTTTTGGTTGAGAAAAATAAATCAGCAATATAACTTCAGGTGCACCTTTCAGCCCCAATTTCCAAGGACATAAATATCTCTAATATCAGGGATATAGGGTTTTTTTTTAAGCAGCATTCAAATTGCTTTTTGCCACTAAAATCAAAGAGACTTGCACTGGTATGGAAGTGCAGAGTCAGAGAAGGGGAGGAACAGGAATAACCTCCACGTGGGAGAAAGAAGAGGAAGCAAAAGTGTGCAGAAAATCTAGGAGAAGACTTTTGACTCCACAGTTTTCCACCTGTCCTTAGAACCACCTTATGCCTTATGATACATCTCAAATAAAACCTATTCTTTTATCTACTGGATTGTACATGAACTACTTCTGGAGGGGCAAACAGAGCTCATCCCTATTCACCAAAGCAGAGGCAGGAAGAAAATCTGTCCCACTGCTCCCTAAGTCAGGACCTGCAGAATAATGCTGTGGGCTTTATTTAATTTATCCTCTGCAGGATAGGTCACACTCCTGCAAAAGAGGTGGACAATCATTTATTCCTGAATGGAAAAAAACTCTCACTAACTGAGCTCAGGAGTTGTAAAGAACTTTTCTCCAGGTTAAGCACCAAAATGCACCGACAGCAGTGACACACAGGGACCAACCCTCTAAGAGTAATCTTGCTGCTGATTTTTTTTTTAAGTGCCCAAGATGAAAAATTCTCATAACTCTTCTTCACTGGGCTACAAAGCCACCAGTTTTAAACTGACAGACAGTGGGAGATGGGATAAAACACCTCCAGCAAATCGAGAAAATGCTGCAGAATCAAAGCATGAGAGCAAGTGGGAAAGAGGGAGAGGAAAGGGATGTCCTGGAGACACTGGTGTCACAACCCAGAACGGCTTTTTTACCGTGGACTGTCAAGACAGCCGAGGTCTTCTGCTCTCCACACACACAGGTGTATTCTCCCGTGTCTTCCACCTCCAGATCTCGGATCAGCAGCTCTGCAGCCGTGTCTTCTTGCCTCATCCTGAACTTTTCGCTCGGTTTGAGTGTCCTGTCCCCTTTTTTCCACTCCACGGGGACGCCGACCTTGCTGAGCTCGCAGTGCAGGGTGGCTGTTCCACCGTCTGTGGCCTCCCTGTTCTTCAACCCTTCTTTGAAAAACGCAGGCAGAGCTGGAGGACAGCAACGTGAGCAGTGAGATGTGACGCTCCAAAGGGTTAAAATTATGTTTAACTTCCTGTTTCCCTCTTATCTTGAACTGATTTTTTTGGATACAAGAACACAGATTCTCAAGAGTCTCCAGGACTCAGCATTAGGAAAGAAATGTCATTACCAGGAAAGGATTTAAGGCTTGCAGCAATCCATAGAGGTATTTAACATGACACACAAATCAATAAAAACAGAAGTAGAAAACCCTTTTTTTTTTTTCCCTGTGAAATTTCAAGCAAATAGTCTTATTTGAAATTTCTGGGGGGAAAAAATGGTTTTCTTACGTGACTTTTTAAACCTTAAGGGGAGGATGTTTGCTGTGTTTTCCCATGCTTAAGCAAACAAAGAGACACTTAAAAAAAAAAAAAAAACGAAACAGTGGGGTTTCATTCTAAATGTCAGTTTGAAATGAAATTGTTCATTTCAATACATGGTGGGAAAACAAGCATTTTCACCTGAACTGACATACCCTTTTGAAGATGTCAGGTTCAGTAAAAATCAAAGCTCTCCCTTTTGTTGTCCCTTAGAAGGTTTGGGCTTTTGCACAGGACACCAACTGAGTGCTGTGACAACTGGGCTGTAAGTGTAAAACCACCTTGTTGTCTCAGGAATGAAGTGTGGGCATAAGATTCCATGGAACAACCTCACCTTTTGGAGTTTTATGAGACCTTAAAAAATCCCTAAGCCACAACCCCTGACAATTTTTGGCTCGAGCATAACGGGGAGTCTAAAAAAGGAACTTCCAGGGGAAAAGCAAAATGATGGATCCTTAATTAAAAGAGTGGGAACAACCCTGGCTGGCTCACTCTGAGCTTGGACCCCGATACCCCTCTTGTGCCACATGTTCCAGCTGATGGAACCGTGGATAATTCCTGGCAGAAGAAGGAGATGGGAGTGCAGATGAGCAGAGAAAACAGGATAGTTACTTTCGGTGTGTGCCTGGCTTTGGTTTGTTTTACCATGAACTGTCAGCACTGCCATGGTCTGCTGGTCCCCACACACACAGGAGTAATTCCCGGCGTCCGTCGTGTCCAGGTTCTGGACTGTGAGCTCCGCAGCCACGCCCTCCCGTTTCATTTGGTATTTGTCACTTGGCTTGAGGGTCTTGAGTCCCTTCTTCCACTCCACCTGAGCAGCTGCCTTGTTCAGCTCGCAGCGCAGGGTGACGCTTTTCCCTTCGGTGGCCTCTTGGTCTGTCAGTTCTTTGGTGAAAAGAGCAGGCAGGACTGCAGAGCAAATGCAACACGGACACGGCATCAACCCTGAGACAGCCTGACCCAAGGCCTAATCGCTCTCTTCTCTCCCTGAAGCCATAAGACCTTCTTGATCTCCTCCAGGATTTTGTTCCTCCAGTCTCTAACGCTTCAAAAGATAACCCAGCCTGATTTTTACTTCGGTTTTTCTTCCTCATGATTCGAAACACCCTTTAAGAGCAAGTCTATCTGAGAAAAATAGCTGCCAAGCCATCTACCCTTTCCTTTATATACCATAAAATCAGGGGCCACATTTCAATATGAGACCCAGAGCATTTTGTTTCCCTTGAGAAGAGCAGCAGCTCCACAGGAGTGCCTGATTTATGGCATTGTCTGAATTTTTATAAACAGGGCACCCTTGAAGCAGAGCAGTCACAAACATGCTGTCAGCGTTCTGCAGAGATAAAGTATTTGCTTTGGAAGAGTTAAGCCAAAACTGGTAAAAAAGGAGCTGGGAGTAGCAGGAGCATTAAAGAAAAAAGCCTATTTTTCACGCAGGTTGTCTTTGTGTAGCAGCATATATTGAGGGAAAGTTGTTCCTCTTAGGAGAAACAAGTGAAACAGTGTAAGTCAGAAAAAGTAAATATTATTCCCACTTTTTGGTCAATCCCTGTGGGGAAAACTTCTAAACAAGCAGCTATTCTGGACCAGGGAGGTTGTGTTGAGCTGTGTTGGCCTGTGCTCACTCAAAACACGGCACCCAGGAAGACAAACAGCACATCAAGAGGGCTTCAGGTGAAAGGAGAAAGAAGGAAAACAGGAGAGGAAAATTAATCAGCAGAGGGGAGGATAGAAAGTATACAGGGATCAGAGGAAGCAGAAGAAAAAGAGGAAGAGGTCTTGGAATCACACAGGTTTACTTGGGCACGTGCTGAGAAATTCTTTTTTACCATTTACTGTCAAAGCAGCTGTAGTCTGTTGGTCTCCACACACACAGTGGTAATCACCAGCGTCTGCCAGTCCCAAATCCTGGATCCTCAGCTCTGCAAAGGGACCTTCCTGCTCTATTTTGTATTTTTCACTTGGCTTGAGGACCACATTCCCCTTTTTCCACTCAACTGGGGCCGATTTGCTCAGTTTACAGTGCAGGGTAACTGCCTCCCCCTCTGTAGCTTCCTTGTTCATCAGTTCTTCTTGGAAGAGGACAGGCAAGGCTGAGGGATGCAACACCAACAGAGAGGGAATCAGCACTGGAATGGATTGAACTGGACTGTGCTGTGAGTTACACGGTGCTGGGAGCTCAGTGTGTACATGTAACCAAAAATGCATTATTTCTATGAGTGTATTGTTGAAATGCAACCTCCTAGAGGAGAGAGAAACAAATTAAAGAAAAAAATATACAAGATAGATGTGCTGTTTCCAGGCAAAAAAAGCACAGGGGAATATCCTCCAACAGGATGACTCTTTGCTACCAAAGAGCCAAGAACATGAAACCTCTAAGAAAACACACTGACCAAGCTTTGGTTGACCAGGAAATGCTGCCAAATATGCTACATTTGTGGCTTAAAAGTAAATATAGGTAGGAGAGTTACCATTGACTCTCAGAGCAGCCGTTGTCTTCTGGTCTCCGCACGTGCAGGTGTAGCTCCCAGCGTCCGTCAGGTCTAGGTCTTGGATAACCAGCTCAACAAAGCGCCCTTCCCGCCTCATTTTGTACTTTCCACTTGGCTCCAGCACCTTCCCATCCCTGCTCCACTGCACCGAGCCCCCGGGCCGGCTCAGCTCGCACTGCAGCGTGGCCGTCCCGCTCTCCGTGGCCTCCTCATTCCTCAGCTCCTTCTTGAAACGCACTGGCAGGGCTGGGAGATGCAGAATGGAAAGGGGTTGCAACCCAAGACCCTGCTCAGATCTCTGCTCAGAGGCTCACTCGTTATTTACTGCGTGCCTACCCGAGCCTTCTTCCAACACCCTTTATCCTTAAGAACATCCTGTCTTTTTTTTTTTTGTTGTTTTTTTTCATGGATGGGGAAAGAAGTTCTCTAGTAACTTGGGATTCTGTGGGAATCAATTCATGGCCTCGATTGGGACCATGCACGCAAATGACAAACTCATCCTCGTCATTAAACCCTCCTTAATGACAGAAAATCCCAAGGAATCTTATGTTCCCATGCTGATCCGGGAAAACACACGTGCAGGACAGCTCCCTTCACTTGAGGGAAGGTGAGAAGACAACACACACACACACATATCCAACACAGGGCACAATGAAAGCTGATTGAGGACGAAGACTGGGGACATGTCAACGTGAAAAAGAGGATGGGTGAAAGCAGTGGGAGCAGGACGTGAAGGTGGGTGCTGTGAGGGAATGTACAGAGAGGAGGAGGGAAGAGGTGGACAAAACCATTCCAGGGGTTCACAGGTTATTTCTGCCTTTTTACCATTCACTGACAAGGCTGCTGTGGTTTTTTGGTTCCCCACTAGACATGAATAGTCTCCAGCATCCTTTGAGTCCAGATCACAGATCAGCAGCTCAGCCACTGGGCCCTCCTGCCTCATCTTGTACTTGTTGCTCGGCCGGAGAAGAGTTTGCCCCTTCCTCCACTCCACGGGGGCCTCTCTGCTCAGCTGGCACTGCAGGGTGGCTGTCCCACCTTCCACAGCTTCCACGGGCTTCAGCTCTTCCTTGAAGAGCACAGAGACAGCTGAGGAGTGAAGCATTCTCAGTTTACTTTTGGGGGCATCATCACCATCCGGTGACCTCACACGGGACTCAAAGCCAAACCAAATTCTCTTGGCACGCACGGCAGGCAAGCTCTGACCTACCTGCACTTCCATTTGGATTTGCAATAGCACACCAAGAGTTTTGGACCAAACCAAAAGAGAGCAATGATTTCCCAGTAATTAGAATATGAAAGCAATTACCCTTCTGCTGCCCAAGTGCTGGTGGTCACAGACAAGTAAAAACTTGATGAGAAAGCAGAAAAAAAGAACTGCATATTCTTTGATAAAAGGTGCAGTTGAGGCCCTTCTTACCTCTTGGCTCAGAGCTTGGACAGTCACCTCTATCCAAAGCATAAGAGATATTTCATAAGGAAAAAAGAGATATTTTGTTATCAGGTACATTTGATTGATATGTTTTCGCACGAAGTTACCATCCCAGAAAACAGAGGACATAACAGACCCTTTTTGTTTGCACTGATCCCTATTTTTCCAAACTCTAAATGTGCAGGAGGTAGCAGGACCACGGCAAGGACAACAACAAATGGTCACAAGCAGGTGTCTCGTTCCTACCATGGATTTTGACTTGGGCTGTGGTCTGCTGGTCTCCAGTGTCACAGGTGTATCTTCCCGCATCTTCTGGCTCTGCATTATGAATCACCAGCTCTGCCACTGTCCCCTTCTGCTTCATTTCATATTTGGCACTTGCCTGGAGCGTGGCTTCCCCCTTCTTCCACACCACGGTGGCATCAGCTTTTGTGAGTTCGCAGCGCAGGGAGATGGATTTCCCCTCTTCCGTATCCGTGTTCTCCAGGGCTTGTTTGAAAAGGACGGGCACAGCTGGAACACAAATCCAGGGATTAGGACATGCCCTCCTTGACCTGGATCTACAACAGGTGCCCCCATGAGAGCTGTCACCTCTTAAAACCAGTCCTTTTCCAAGTGAGCAGAGCAGCCCTAGAGCCTCCCTTGGCTGTGTGGCATCAGCAGGATCCTGCTTGGGAGCAGGAATCAATCTCTCCCCCAGATGTTATCATCTCACTGTGGATTCCTAGGGACATGGGGGAAGGTTTTTTCTCATTTTTAATAAGGACCCTTTCAGAATCCCCTGGGCATCATCACCTAATGAATTCCCTACTCCTGCAGGGCTCTGAAACAATATTCACATCCTATATTTCTCCTACTCCCTGCTCCAGCACATACTACTTTTCCTAAAGCTACTATATTTGCTAAAGGCCATTGGGGAGTGCAGATGGAACCTGAGAGCCTTTCAAAAGGATGTTTGTGGGAGTTTGAGGATCTACAAATTAATCACTCGGCCACCTGCAATTTTTCAGGGACTGCATTTATGTTTTCACATTCTTGTGCTCCAGCACTGCTGGTCTCCATTGGTAACTCCATTCTTAACCCCAGCCACGTAAAACAGCTCATGGGTCAGGAACTACAGCACGTAGGGCACAGAAAAATAATCCTCTGGGCTCCACTTAATTAGTTTTTGCCCAGTGGGAAGTTACAGACTCAAATCCCCAAACGCAGAATGTGAGATGACACGAATTAAACGTATACAGGTGACAACAAGTGTGCAATATTACCTTTAAATTTTACACATTAAAGATGACACTACCACAAAAAAAAAAAATGAAGTGTTGTGTGATTTTTTTTTTTTTAATAGACCTATTAAGCACTTGATTCAGGAAGTGTTTAATGTCTCTAGCTCTACCCACCGTTCACTTTGAGCCGGGCAGTGGTTTTGAGCTCCCCAGAGCTGCAGGTGTATTCCCCGGCATCCAGGGGTCTGACATCTCGGATAACGAGCTCCGCCACGGTTCCGTGCTGCTTAAGTTCATACTTCTCACTGGCGTGGAGAACAGTATCTCCCTTCATCCATTTCACTGGGGCACCAGGTTTGCTGAGCTCACAGGTCAGCTTGACCTGTTTCCCTTCTTTAGCCTCTTCGTTTTGGAGCTCTTGCTTGAAAAGGAGTGGCTTTTCTGAAAGATATGTCGGGAAGGAAATGTGTGGGATATTGGCAATCATCCTCCCCCTTTCTGTGTCAGACTTTGTTTTTAGAGGTAGAAAACTGCAGGAATGGAAAAAAGCACTGGCAAACAGCAAACAGATCCTGACATCTCACATCTGGCTGCCAGCACTTTACAGCAGCAGAAGAAAAAAAATTAGGCCATCTGTTTGTTTTCCTTTCAACCCCTGTCTGCCCTTTTGAAGACACTGCTGCTATCTCTGTTTTCATTATTAACATCAGTGGCAGACGCTGCACTGCTGTAAATGGCACAAAGTGTGTCACAGATGGGTGCTCAGAGCTGGACCACTGGCACAAAACCCGTAAAACTTCAGGAGGTCAACTCGCACACACAGAGCACAGAGGACACAGCAATGGCAAAAGCACTGTCTGTCACAACCAGCAGTATTGAATCCTCATGATATAAAAAAAAAACCCCCACAAACCCAGAATGTTTTTTTTACCCAAACATGAACACAGACTTGAAACCAGCACAGGGTAAACACAGAGTGGGGAAGCACAGCTGGACATGGCAGCGTCCCTGGGGAGTTTCCTCTGCAGGCTCTGTCACAGCCTGGCATTCGAGGTTTTGAGCTGAGCTAGGGCAGGGAAGGAACTTACTGGAAAAATACCTCAATTGAAACGTTCTCCCTTTAGATAATGAAAAAAAAAAAAAAAAAGAATCCTTCCTGAATTCTGCCGCCTTATGAATATGCAAGTCAGCTGCTGATTTGAGATGCAACTAATTTGTGGCTGTTGAAAAACTACAGCTTGTTCTTTTGTGTACCTTTTACCTCTAGTTTGGGACACTCAGTGTCACATGAATACTGATTTTTTTTCCTATTTTTTTCCCAGTTTTTCCCTTTTTTTTGTCCTATGTTTGCATTCTGCTGCTCTGATGTGACTCTAACAGAGAGGCTCCCTAGAGGAAATCTCCAAAGGTGTGATTTGTTGTAGACATCATTACGACTTGACTCCTTCCCATCTGCTGGTGATCTGAATCCATGTGTTTCAATCCCACACCCCACTCTGGGAAGGGGAAAAAAAATGGGGCTGTGGTGGAATTTTATCAATGTGATTTTCTCCTAACAGGGAATTGTTCATCATGGGTGAGATGCAGGTCCTGCTGAAGCCAGCACAGACCTTTCCTTCCTGTATAATGGGTACTGAGAAAACATTCTCATGTAGAGAAAGGCAGAGAAAACTGGGACAAACTGGGACCATTAACCACCACCTCTTCTTCACTGCATCATCAAGGTCTTCTCTTTCCCTGCACTGCAGACCTCAGCCTTAAGTTGGTTTGCTTCTTGGTGCTCTGGATAAATCCTGTGAGCAGCTTGTCCCCCTGCTCCACACTCTGAGGTTCAGGTTGACCATTCCAACCACCTAAACTCTGAATTCCCTAATCCCAGTGCAGGTTCTGATCCTGCATTCCAGGTGCCCAAGTGACAGGCAGGAGCAATTGTAAGGTGACTGTGGATAAGCCCAGTTCTAACTCAGAGAATTGCACTAAAGGTTCATCTAAGAAGAGAATTTTTGCTTCAGCTTGGATAACAACCCTTTAGATCAAGGAATCATGGAACAGTTTGGGTTGGAAGGGACCTTTAAGGTCATCTAACCCAACCCCCCAGCAGTCAGCAGGGACACCTTCAACCAGACAAGGTTGCCCCAAGCCCCATCCAACGTGGCCTTGAATGTTTCCAGAGATGGAGCATCCACCACCCCTCTGGGCAACCTCTCACAATGATTTACCACTTCCACTGCAAAAACCTTCTTCCTCACACATCATCTAAACCAGTTTTAATCTAAATGGTTTTTAGTTTAAAACCATCACCCCTTGTCCTGTCAAACAAGATGGCACCTCCTGCCTGGTCACACTCTTTGGGTGCACTGCTCTGATAAACTTGGCTGCCTAAAGTAACTACCCAGACCAATGTGTGGTGGGGTGATCTCCCTCCTTGGAGAGAGCCATCAGAAATTTGATGAATTTATACATCTGAATCCACTTGCACTGGAAACAAAGGGTTCAAACACCCATTTTCCTCGAAGAGTTCATTAACAAGGGCAGGTCCCTTCCCACCCAAACCATTCCAGGATTACATGATTCTCAGAGGACTTAGACATTTAACCTGCACAGAGCTAAAAGGCCAGAAGGATTTTCCTGTTTCAACTCTTTCACCTCTCTGGGTGCTGTTCTGGACAACTTGATGGAAACATCTTGGTGCAAAGACACCAAGTTTCTTCTCAGTAGAGTTTCATGTTTCCACTGCTTTGATTAATTACTCTGACCTAGATGTCAGATGACAATTTAGGACCCAAACCATCACTCCAAAATTATAATATTAATTCATAACTCCAATTTATTACCCTTGACAGTAATAACTGCACTACTTTGAGCTGCTCCAGTCTCACACTTGTATCTGCTACTCTCTCTTCTGCCCTTGGCTTCAAATCCCAACCATATGATTTTATACTTGGAAGAATTCCTGGGGCTCTTTCCCACCTTTGCACCACTTCACAGGCCTGTCTGATTTGGAGGTTTCACAGTGAAGGATCACCTCCTCTCCCTCACACCCTCCAGTATCAACCACCTCCTTTGTGAAGGCTCAGGGCTTCTCTAGAATCACATAAAACCCATCTGAGATGTTTCAGAAGAGGTGTTGATTCTCAGATCACAAGTAATCCATGAGCTTTGCAGCCAGGATTACTTGTATCAAAGCTGCAGGTCAAGGTTAGTGACAAATAATTTGGTATTTGTGACTGTGAAGCCCTCAGGAAGCACCAGTGATGCCATAAAGTGTTGCTCAAATACCCACTGACATCTGGGAGAAACTGAGAAGACAATATTCCTGTTGAGGAACATCAATAAAACCTCTCTCACTTCCCAGGAAATAGCAATAAGACTGAGGCACAATTTTGCTGAGCCTTTTTCCGTGGGAGCTGATGAGTTTGAACCTTCTACCTGAACGTGGAGAAATTAATTCTGCATGAAGTGAGGGGCAATACAGGTTTCTCTCATCTAAAGCAGGTCTCAGCAGATCAAGTCCTCTAAAAATCAAGTAGATAGCTCAGATAGGTCATTTAGGATGTCCCTATAGCCTCTGGAAGGTGACAGACACCTCCAGAAACCAAATATTTAATTCCAAAATAGGTCATTGGGACAGAGGAACTCCCTGGAATTGCTTGTCTTTCTACTCAGCTTATACTAGTAACCTAAGCTAGACACCAACAGCTAAACTGGCCATTGTAAATCTCATCCCCCCCATATTAATGCTTTTTAATTCCTAAAAATCCAATCCATCAGGAGACTGAAACCTGGTTATGGTTCCACAGCATCACAAATAAAATCTTTCACTTTCCTTCAGAAAAAAAAAAAAAACAAAACACACCAAAACCAAAAAAAAACCTCAACCAAACGAAAACAGACACATACCACCAAAACGTCAAGCACAAACCTAATAATCTATTTTCATTTCTGCAGCTTGGAAAAATTTGGGTACCTTTTCAAACTTTGAAAAAAAAAAAAAAAAAAAAAAAACAAACACATGTTCTTTGAAATAAATGTGGTGGCTGTGAAAAATGAGACTGTGATCTGACATGGGGGGAGGCAGCGTTTTTTCTTATCTCTGGGCAACAGAAATATTTACATTTCCAGACTAACACTGCAGTTTTAACTCACTTTAACTTGTCCAGAGCAAGGATTACAAAGTGTTCATTCTCCAGCTGTAATTTCATTTATATAAGTCATTCTGTTCTTGACCACGTACAGATATACACAAGATGGGGCTAAATTTGTGGCATTTTTGTCCTTTTTTTTTTTTTTTTTTTCTCCCCCACCTACCCACATTAAACCCCGCTCGCTTCCACTCGTTCTCTCCTCTCCTGCAGTTTTGACGGCGGATTTACCTTTCACAACCAAACTGGCAGATGTTTTCTTATCACCAGCTTCAAATGTAATGACCCCCGAGTCCTTCAGGGAGAGCTTTCTCAGCGTTAGCAGGTGATGTCCCCCAGGCTGGGACTGGATCTCGTTAAGCTCATTGGTATGGAGCGGGGTTTTATCCAAAAACCACTGCACTTTGCTATAGTCTACGGGAGAGATTCTGCACTTGAACGTGGCAGATTCCCCTTCTAACACAGTGACATCTTCCAGGTCTTCTGTTATTAGCACTCTCTGGCCTGAAAGGAACATATAGACACATCAATTACTGGGATCTCCCGTTTCTAGCACGAAAAGCCATATGGAAAACTCCCAAGATTTCCCACGTGAGTTTTTCCAAGAAAGAACTACGTTCGTGACGCACAAGACTGACACATAATTCCCCTGCTACTGAACACAAAACCCACTCAACAGGAAGAGGACATGTGCAGGACACACACACACACACACACACACACACACAGCAAAATAGGATGAAGACAACTTTAAAGCACCAGAAAAACATAAAAGCAGAACAAGTACAATGCAAATCCAGCGTTATAAACCTTCTCCTAATAAAACCACCTGGAAAGGTAGAAAGGATGAGTCTCTGACAGCATTACTGGGCTCTAGACATTACTGAGCAGATAATCCCTCCCATGCCAGCTTCTGATTTTTTTTTTCTAGAGCAAATATAGCTTGATTTCTATGGGATGGGATGACAGAGCCCCCGCCTTCTTTGAGCTCAGTCCAACCATAAACACAGTGGGAAGGGGAGAAAGTGTCTGACTGCAGCTTTGGGAAAAAGAAACAAAACATCTACCCCAAAAACCTGCCTGTGTAAGTAGATATACACCTAACTAGAAATAAATATATAAATACATATATATATATAAAGAGAAACCTAACTATAAATATACATAAAATGAGGTTATTGCTGTATACAAAAATACCTCTGATGCTCCTCCTGCTTACAAAAGTAGTAAAGGGATTTTTTACTTTTATCTTCTTGACAGTGAAGTATTTTCTCTGCTCAGAAAAGCTGCTGTTAGAGAGCTCACAGTGGATTCAGGTAACTCAGAGCCCAAGGTCACAATGGGATTAAGTACATTTCTTTGCTTTTCAACATCTGTTCTAGCAGATGATCAGAGGTGGAGGAGTCTGACTTCGCCCCCTTGTATTTAAAAGCATAATAATCAGCAAGTGGACACTGCCACTTCATCTCAATCTGACTGTTCTGGAATCATCCCTCTGCTCTGGAGCCAGGCTGGGAGAGCTGGGGGGGGGGGTCACCTGGAGAAGAGAAGGATCCAGGGAGACCTGAGAGCCCCTTGCAGGGCCTAAAGGGGCTCCAGGAGAGCTGGAGAGGGACTGGGGACAAGGCATGGAGGGACAGGACACAGGGAATGGCTTTAACTGAAAGAGAGCAGGTTTGGATCAGATATTGGGAAGAAATTCCTGACTATGAGGGTGGGCAGGCCCTGGCACAGGTTGCCCAGAGAAGCTGTGGCTGCCCCTGGATCCCTGGAAGTGTCCAAGGCCAGGTTGGATGGGTCTGGAGCAACCTGGGCTAGTGGAAGGTGTCCTTGCCCATGGCAGGTGATTAGAAGGAGTTGATTTTTAATGTCCCTTCCAACCCAAGCCATTCTGTGATTCTATGAACCACTATTTGCCCATCACCTCTTGGAAATTACTACTGGGAAGGGGCATCAAGGGATACAAAGAAAAGCCTGGATGCAGAGTGATTTTTTTATCCCCCATGTAACAGCAGGCTCTCTGAATCACGTCCATCATATGTTCACACAGGAACACCGCCCCCTCCTCACACCAGCATTTTGGGGTTAAATCACACCCAAAACACTTCAGGTGTAATTCCTTTAAGTTGCTTTGGCATGACCAGCTCCATATCTATAATTCTGCCTACATTGTGAGCCAAAAATCCACGGATCTGCCCCCTGTATGCCGAGGGATAGGTGTGCCCGTGCACATAACGTTTCCCACGGAGAAACAGGACGTACAATCCTATTCCTGCCGCTCGTACCTTGCACGACCAGCTTGGCTCTGGACTGGGCGTCGCCAATGTCACAGCTGTAAGTGTCGCTGTCGCTTTTCTCCAGGTTCTTGATGGTCAGCTGAAGGACCTGCCCTGTCTGTGTGATCTCGTATTTCCTGCCGGCCCTGAGCTCGGCGATGCCTTTCCTCCACACCACGGAGGACGCGGCTCTCTCGCTCTGGCACACGAAAACTGCGGTGCCACTCTCATCGACTTTCAGGTCTGAGAGCTCCTTGACGAAATAATTGGGTTTTTCTGGAAGGAAAAAAACAAATTAAAAAT